GAAATAAAGTGTGAGTTAAATGCCATGCCGTGGAACATTCAAGGTGAAGGATATGATCTTGTGTCAACCTGGGCCATGTCGACCATGGGCCATGTTGACTTGGGCCATGTTGACTTGGGCCATGTCGACCTGGGCCATGTTGACCTGGGCCATGTCAAACTGGACGTAGGTTTGCTCTGAGTGCTCCGGATTCCCCCACCCCACAAGGCGAGCATCAACACGACCATTGATCCTGACAGAAGCCCTCGTGGTATGCCGATAGGTATGGAACAGTAGGATAAGAAATAAATGTTATGTAAGTTATGTGTTTGTAGGGGCTTATCAAATACTAATTCCATAAATGAAGCCGTAATCACAAGGACGGTTGTATTCATGTGATGTCAGGTGGACTCTTGAAGTGGACATTAAACTGAGTAATGGTATTGAGCTGAACCAGGCCAAGCAGCGTGGCCCAATGAACAGCGCAGAAAGGTCAGCACTGTGCTTATTGGGTTGTATTTGGAAATGTTGAAGCCTCCAGGCTTTCAACCATTCTGAGCAAATCACCGCCGACACATCCAGCCATCGGCGGCTATTTGTGGAAGCGTAACATTTACTTAGAGCCACAAAGGTGGGAGGTCCAAGATGCTAAACGGACCATTGAGGACATTAGCCTCGCTACTTGAACCCGAGAGTATTCAAGGATCACCTCAAGAAAGAAGTTTAATGTGTACTACAACAACCATCTCTGAAAGAAAAACAAGTATCACCCCAAAGCAAACAATACATTTACAAACATTCAAAGAAAGTTAGCAATTGGATAAAAGCTACAGCTAAACAACTTTCCTGGTGTGGGGCCCGGTTTTTGATGGTCCACCTACATTTAATTTTGCCTGGAATGTATCATATCATTTCATCTTTAGCTTAGATTTTTCCTTGATAATTTTTCTCAGCTTTCAGTATGTGATGATGAAATGTTATATTGGATAAAACAAGAATCTTTCAGGTTTGGAAAAACAAAATGTAAGTATGAAAAAGCTAGTTACTTTTTAGGCTTTGATGTCATGATCTAAATTCTAAACATAAAACTAATTTAACTTTAACATGATAGTTATTATAATGTTCTCCAGAGATGGTGAAGATGTCCTCTGTGTAACCAGCTGAATAACTGCAATTCTCTAATCTCGCCGCAGGAATTGATTGAGACAAAAGAGACCACGAGTGAAATGAACCACAGTATGGTGTGACCGGAAAGACAATCAGCGGATCGATAGTAGCGGGGAAATCCTACTGTTTGTCCTGACCCTGAATGGTACACAGCTGAGACATTTATTTAACATGGGATCAATGGCAGTACAGGGCTTTGTTGACAAGGTTACTTACTTATTGTCTTTTACAAATAATTCACAGCTGGAATTGTCTAAGTCTAAAAGAGACCTTCACACAGTGTGGACATTTCAGCATATTTTAACTACCTATATTTGGCTTCTTGATGGCATACTCTTACAGATAAATACAAAGTCCACCTTTTAATGCCACATTGTGATACATGGTGATAGAAAGGACAAAACACCCTCTTTATGAATAAATAATACAGAATAATACGTCTCTCTCTATTAAAATGCAGTGTTGGGCTAAACTGATGGTAGCTGGTGCAGAGGAGAGACTTTAAATTATAATAATTCTTGTGCTGTGAGGTGCTCTGAACAGCACAGTGGATTAAAACAGTAATATATGCAGAGTTGGGACATGTTAATGCACTCAGCAGCACCATTGTGAAATGTTACAATTAAACTTCAATCATCCCTTAAGAGCAGACAAAAGACAGAATGACCTCTAACAAATGATTCAGTGCATTTCCTCTAAACTTGAGTCCATAGATTCTTACTGCACACATGTTAAAGGACACATCTGACTTTTAAGAGCATAATCTTGCTTGCACTCCTTAAATCAGGTCTAATTGACTACAACATATTTTATTTATATCTCCAAACACAAGCTCAGCAAGTACAAATCAATCATAATTGGCCTTCTGTATTCAAAATGTTGATGCTGAGTTATTGATCATTATAAATGGTGATGATGGTGACTTTTAATATTGTGGTTTTCAAACTGATTATCTGAATTAGGCTCACATTAGTCCATTCACTTTTGTTGGTCCAGCTGGTTGGGTCTCTCCCATTATTAAGACTGTAAATAATATGGACAGTGTGTGACCTAACATTTGCATATAGTAAACTAATAGAAGCATTAATCATTACTCGTCTGTGTCTTCATCTGACTTTAACCAGTGAATGACGCTCGCTCGACTCAGTTCCAGGTCACTGCTGCTCAGTCTTCTCTCTGGTGTGGAATTATAATGACAAATGTGTTCACACTGACATTGTTACAGTGACATTTGGATGTAAAGGAGAGCTCAGAGAAATGCCTCAACTCCAAAACGCCTTGCCATAAACTCATACAAACTCAAATATAAGAATATCATTCAAAAGTAAATTTATTTCTGTATTTCAACAAAAAATGTGAAATATCTTAAATGGACTCATTATACGCAAAGTGACATACGCCGAGCCTTTGTTTGTTATCATTTTTGTCTTTTTCGCTGTGAGACTTATCAACATTATAACAAATACAGGCTCGATATATCTCACTTGACATGAGTAATATTTGTTTCACTGTGGAATTTTTTAACAATATTTTAAAAAGGTATTTGAACAGGTGTTCAAAAATACAGTATTATAATAAAAAAGAAAAAAAAACACCTGTGGGCGGTTATCCCACTCTAAGCTCGGGTCCTCTATACATCCTCTTTAGGTCAAACAAATCCGCAGTAGCAGCTGATGGTTTTGAATCTAAACCTTTAAATGTAAAACGGTGACACAAGGATCAATTCAGGGTCCTTTTGTTTTAACCCAAACATGTTTATTTACACTTTCGGATTGGAATCTCAAACAAAGCCCAATTAATCTCTACGCAGAGGATGCTATCTTGTATGTTAGTATGGCCTCTACAAAAATACATTTGATTGAATTAAAATTATTGTATTTGAAAAACTGATTATATGCATATTTGTTAAACTGGAACTCTCACCAAACTTTTTCAAACTGTTTGTGCTTGGAATGAAGGCTGTAGAATATTTAGGATCTCAAAATTGGCTATATGTGCATTTTAACAATTTGTTATTGAAATTTCATGAGAGGAACTGTACATGTATTTAACTCTTTAGCTTTATTATAGAGCTATCAAAAAGAGTGGTTTGAAGCCACCCCTGTAGATGAATTGACAATTTTCAAATGCATGTATTTAATTATAAATTAATAGATCTTGATGAACTAAAAGTGTAGTTTTAATTTTTTTTCTCTCTCTGTTTTCTGAATGACAAAATATCCAAACACAACCTTGAAAGCCTTTTGGGCTAGACATGTTGACAGATTTTCAATACAAGCAGTTGTTTACCATTTATTACTGAAGAAGTTTACAAATGCCCTGGGTGAAGTCCCATACATTACTAGTTTTACAAGAACACACATCAAAAAAAGTATAAATAACAAGGAAATATTTTGCCACAGGAAACAGGCCTTCATATTTCTATACACTGTTCTTAAATGTCACATCTTTGACATCACATGTACTTTTCAAAAATATATGTACAAAAGAGTTAGTATATACTGTATTTCATATAGAAGAAAACAGAAGGTAAATAGAATAGGTTTTACGTGAGAAGAGATTACAATGTGCGTCATTTGTACAAAATGGCCGTAGCTACTGTAATGTATGCAGTCTTCACATTGTTCTTGCAGGAAGTTCATAAAATCCAGTATCAGACACAGCATTACAAATATATGGATGAATTCAGAATGATTAATTAACCATATAATACAATGTCATATAATTTTGTCATTTAATATGAAAAAGGACTCAAAACATGTAGAATAGGATGTGGAAAACCCATAAATTTAAGTTGTGTGAATGAAGCCGCTCTCATTGCACTGAAGGCGTTTTGCCCAGTGAACATTGTGCAGAGCTGATTGTCCTCATGTTTATACATTTGGGTCTGATTAGCTCCGTTTGAACAGTGCAAGTGAATGTAAAATGAGTAGAATGTATTCAGACACAGTGGGGGTGCTTGTTGTATGTGTAGGAAGAGCAGACATTTCTCAAACTTAAAGTGTCAATTACAGGTTGAATCAATGATCCTTTAACTGTGTTTTCAGATTTTGCTAGTAATTTGCCAAATATTCCTGTTTAGCTTGTTTTAATTATTTATTGTAAATGATGACATCACATTGGTGATTCTTTGCCTGTATACTTATAACTCAAATATCTAAAGTGTAAGATAGGAAAAAAACACGCTTCCTTTTGTTGAATTATAAACGTTTTCATGCTTGCCCTGACTTCCCTCTCTCTCGAGTTCCCAAGCCAGAGCTGGAGAGCTGTTCTGGTGGGACATGCCTGGAACACCCCTCCAGGAAGAGCTCATGGGAGGCCTCCAAAGCAGATGCCTGAGCTGGCTCCTGTCACCATGGGGGAGCAGTGGCTATACTCTAAGCTCCTACCGTCTGACTGAGCTCTGCGCCGAATCTTGTCTATGATGGCGATATTTAAATGTATAAAAAAATTTGCATGTATAATGTCCCAATATTTGGCCCATTGTGTTGTGTCATCATAGAACATTCATTTTAAACTTTGCTTCAAAAAGTACCTTATTGGTGCAAAACTATACATATTTACAAAAGGTATTCAAATGTTCATAGAGACAGAAAAAAAATAACAGAAATTTGAAAGGGATTTTACTTGTAATTGTCCCCGTTTGTTGATTTTATTTACCCTAGAAACCGGAGCACTAGGAGGAAACCTATGCAGACAGGAGAGAACATAGAAAGGCCATGCTGGAGGTGGAATCAGGACCTTGTTGCTGTGAAGCACAATTGCTAACCCCTGATGTTGGACACACCCTGCTGTGGCCCGAACAGTGGGAACGAGCTCAGTCTGTGGCGTCGTGTAGAGGTCGTCTGCTGTGGTCAGTGTGGCGTCGCCTTTCGTCTCAACTCCAGCGTGAGCAGTCCCTCCTGACGCCCCAGTGCATGCTGGGTGCCCACTTTGTGAGCCGTCTCTGTTGCTGTGATGTCAATCTGAGCATATTTAGTGGAGCTTTTTTCTGAAAAGATAGAAAATAGAACTATAATCTTGTGAAGACAGAATTCTTTGTAAGAAATATTTGCAGTGGAAACTGGAACTATATTTACATTACACTGAAACTTTATCGAACCGGGGTTAATATTACAGAACTAGCTAATAGATCTTTGTCTAGAGCTTATTTCTTTTTTTAATTTTGGCTCAATACTGTAATAATGAGGTGTTTCTTTTTTGGAACTAAAATCAGATCTTTACATACATTTCAGATTTGGCAGGATCGCCTATACTGTATTACTTATTTTGAGTAACCGTCCACAAGCTTCTCACAAAACCAGGCTGGACTTTTGGCCCATTCCTCTGAAATGGAGTCCCCCTTTAGACACTTCACACCCCCCCATGCTTCAGAGTTGGGATGATGTTTTACGACTTGCAAGTGTCAATTTAATTGTTCATTGGATGGGACCGTGTGGAACAATGAACAGCAGGAGCTTTTAATACACCAGATTGTAGACTTCCTAATGTGGACTAATTTCCATCATTAGCATCCATTATTTTGGCTTCAAGTCATTATGGTCGAACAGTTCCACGTCAGTTTCATCTGACTTCTCCTGTAGATGGATAGATAGATACTTTATTGACCCCCGTAAGACAAATTCAGGTGTTGTGTGTGTTTATGTTCTGGATTTTTCTGTTTTATTTGGATTAGCACCGGTAATGGCGTCTTCCTTACAGAGCGGCTGTTCTACTTTGTCTGATAACACATTCTGCTGCCGCCAACATCTTCACAAGTTCCTTACGTTTTTCCCTTATGTATAGTGATAATGAAGTGTCTAAACAGGCTACAATAATTTTAATGTTCTTTGACTTTTGACTATTTAAATTTATAACATTTGCCAAATTTACACCCACTTTTTTGTTCTAAAGCTTAATCTTATTTAGAGCCAGTATTGCAGACGTGTGCAAGGCCTAGATTAGCATATGGTTGAACTTTCTGGAGCCGACACCAATTCATGGAAACAGAGCATTATCTTCTCATATAAAGTTTCATCCATTACGGTGGAAGATTTCTCCAGGACAAGTATGAACTCAGGTTTATTGAGACTTTGGCCTACTCTCAGTAAGAACACGTCACCCAGCTTGTTTACATTTATTTATAGTTTGATTAGAAATTTTCTATCCTAGACTTTTATTATAAACAAAACCAAAAGGCGATGTTTGGATTATATCATCTAAAGTAGGTCAATTTGTGCAACGTCTCCAGCAAAGAGAGAGGAAAGAGCAGTGAGATATACTAGTCTGCACAATGAAGGCACACACATTGTTACCAAGTCTAGTTTGGTTAAAATATGAACGCATTTGCACAATGGAGAATATTGGAAAGTGCTGTTGAGCTGTCAGCAGAATGACCTGTGCAGACTCTTCTGTCAGTGTCCAAACAGACCCACAGAGGGAGCGCCTGCCCTCGCTGCCAAACGGACGCTTAGCTTTTGTGCCCGAGTCGCGGCACCAGGCTCAACCATATGCAAATAATTAATTTACCGATGTTGAGATTCTCCTCATGCACTCACAAAGGACCGGCCACAGTGCTATTATGATAATGCGATACGTTCCTCGCGTAGAATCAAATCACAATGAACGTTTATGCTCTGCGACGCACCAAAGCCGCACTCGTAAATGGCCGTCACTTAAAGATAATATGGGCGCCGAACATTTCCGTGTGCCGTCGTCAGGGAAATGAGCTGCTCTGTGCCATCAGTGACTCCACAGCTGTGATGAGGCCTCTGACCCGGCGCCTTCTCCCGGGTGACACTCTAATGAGAGCGCACCGACTCTGCTGATTAACCTGCGTGTGTATTCCTCAATGGTCTCACGTAAATGTGCTCCTCGGGTGTCAATTACAGGACAGTGCGTGTGTGTCTGTGTATATGTGTGTGTGTGTGTCACTAATGGTGATGGCCGAATACACCTGCATTTACAGCAACTAATGAGCTATAAGTCTTTGGATAGTTTTATGGAAGAAACACTTAAAGGGCAGGTAAAATGTGTTTGTTACAACTTTCACTCACAGTTATAGTCTAATAATGGATGTGAGAGTGGTGTTTAGGTGTTTGAGATGACCTTCAGCACATCATGCACCCGAGTCTCCAGGTTGAATGGTCTATTATCATGTTTCATGTCTGTAACAGGAGTTCCAAAAAATGTTCAGGCCGGGACCCCAAAAAATAGACATACAGTAAAACCCACTTGCGACCCCTTACTGTAAAAGGTAAATTAGGATGTGTACATGTTGATCTATTACATACTGTCCCTAGTATAGTGATAACGTGTCTAAGCAGGCTACATTAATGCTAAGATTCTTTGAGTTTTAAGTATTTTATTTATGCTATTTGATCTCATATCACTTCAAAAAATCCATCACAATGGAATGTAGAGCTAGTGTCCTGACCCCGACTTTTGGAATCACTGCTCTATACACGGTGTGTGGCTGCTCACTCTGAGGGGGCAGGTGGGGGCCAGTCCCTCTGGGCCCGGGGCTGATCTCCTGCAGCTCCAGCTCCATGTAGTTGAGCAGCTTCTTGGACGTGGGACTCACAGGGATGTTCACGTACGTCACTGCGTCCCAGCGAAGTCTGTCTGCTGCGACTGCATCAGGAGGGAAAACAAACACACTCCCTAAAGAGCAAAGGGCGGGGCACATGGTAAATGCTTTGTGGTCAGTAAAACATCTCATTTATCTTAAGTCATCTGTTTGACTTGTACACCTGAGCCAATTTGTTCATCGCTTCATTCACAAAGCTTTTCCCATTCTATTCCAGTCCCTTTTCTTCCACTTTATCTGTTGCCGGTTGCGGGAGCAGCAGTCTAAGCAGGGACGCCCACACTTCCCTATACACACACAATTCTCCAGCTTATCCTGGGGAATCCTGAGGTATTCCCAGACCAGCAGAGAGACATAGTCACTCCAGCATGTACTGGGTCTTCCCCTGGTCTCCCGGTGGGACGTGCGTGAAAACCTCCCCATGGGGGCGTCCGAAACAAATTCCTGAGCCCCTTCAACAGGCTCCTCTTGTTCTATTCCGAGCTCCCCTCATGAGACTGAGCTCCTCACCCTATCTCTAAAGGAGCACCCAGCCACCAAGATTTACCATAGATTTATCCATATAATATAACATAAGTAAATAAGTGTGTGGATAATGTGGATTTTATTACATCAATAATTGTTTGTAGTTTTAAAGTTAGCTACTCCAGCTTTATATGGCATGAACCGCCCAGTCACCTTTACAGCATTAACAAAATCAACTGGACCGTATGTTTATGATGAAAAATGTAAATAAATGAGAAAGCTTGTACTTTAAGGGGGGAGGGTCTTGATGTTCGCTGTATGCTTCTACATGTTACATCTTGTGTGGATTTGCATCAGTATCATGATCCAGTGAAGCGAGGGGAATGTTGGTGCCTTGCATTTCTTCACATTAACAGATTGGAGCCTGCTGCTTCAGTTAGACAAGGATCAAACACATGAAATGATTGAATATACAGCTGACTGAGTTGAATATCTTGCTTCTTCATCATGCTAAAGTTGGAGATTTTAGTCTTTCATTATTGTGCTAAAGATAGAGATTTTATACTGCTTCTTTTTATGATAGAGTAAGAGATTTTGTTTATTTTATTTTGGTAAAGAGTTATTATTCATGTGTCTTGTGTTGTGTGCTCCTCTTTCCTACGGTCTGTAAATTTCCCCCCATTTGGAATAAATTATCTATTTCTTAATCTTTTTAATGGTTTCTTCAACCATTTGTTAGAAAACCTTTTTAGTCACTATATCTACTTGAAGCTTGGAACAGAAATCTACCTTTTTTGGGGCCGCTCACTTTTTTTTTTTTAGGCCCTTTCACCATCATCAGCATCTCAACCCTTTGGTAAAAGTTTATAATAAAAAGAAAAAACTAAGGGTTTCTGTTAGTGTGCCCCAGGGCAGTTGTGGCTACAGTAGTAGTTTATCACCACCGAGTATGGAGTGAATGAATAATGACATGTCTTTGAGTGTCCAAAGATGAGCTATATAAAACCGATGCATTATTACTATTATTATAAATTAAAAACATATGTATATATATAAATATAAAAAAAAAATGCTATTAGTGCTTCTACATCTTAGAAAATTTCAATAGAATGACATTGCTTTCTTCAAAGAGTGACCACTGAAGGGTTAATCTTGATCTCTTAATGTTGGCGCATAGTCATTCAGATTAGTAACAGTAGACCATGCTCTGTAGTTCTGGGAGTGATGTGGGAGCTGAAGGTGCTGCAGGACTGCTGCCCTGAGGAGAAGGACGAGGAGTGGGCGAGACTCAGGACATGTGAGGGGGTGATGCCAGCAAAATGTCCAAACAACCTCTGACAACTGTCCCCTTCAATCAGAGCAGGATCATCGCCTCATTACATGTGAGCAGTAGGTGACCCAAGTTATCTAAGCCTTACATTCAAAATACTGTGACTTGTGTAGAGTTTACTAAATCATTTAGATTACATTTTGTGTTCCTTATGCACGTACGCTATACGCTCATAAAGTTAGGAATAATAGTCTTTACAATGGAAAATGGAAAAACACTCAAAAATGTGTCCAGGCAATTAGTGTTTTGTAAGAAATAGGTTTCATTTTCATCATGATTTAAGAACTGGCTTTTTGTCCAATAACAATGTCATCTTTCCATATAAAAAAAAAAAAAGTATTACCCCGTGTATGACTATGCAAATGAAATGAGTTCAACACTATTCAAATATGCCCAAAATATTGTGTTGCTCAAACAGTTCAAATAGTTTCACTGTGATTAGAGCGAAGGGAGTGAAAAGAGGGTAGTTGTCTGTCATATTGGCCCCCGTCTTTCACTTGATCAGGGTTAACCCTTTTTCCCAAAAAAGGATTCCTTATGTTTCATATTTTGTTCTGGACAGCGTCACCGCAAAAAGTGACAATATAGACTAATGTAGTTCACTTGACTTCAGTGTCTTTACCTAATCACATTGTATTTTGGACTTTTGGACTCATACAGGCTGAAGATACTTAAGATAGTGTTTGTTATTGTTATTGTTATTAATATGTTTTGATATTATGATAATTCAAGAAATCTTAACAAGTGGAAAAATCATGGTCCACTGGCAGATAATTTTGCTTAAAACAAGTACATTTCCTCTAATAGTAGATACTTTTTCTTGTTTTTTGAACCAATTTTTGCAGAGTTATATAAAAAAAAAAAAAACTTTCCTCTTTGGGCCCAAAATTAGGTTCTTGATAGTATTACATCATGAAAAGTAGAAACATGCAATACAGACTTCCTCATCCCAAACATTTTATTGAAAGCAGAGGCGACAGAAGGGGTGGGTTTACCGTCGGTCTCCTGGAGAAGCCTCTGATGGCCACAGCTGCCCATTAACTCGTACTTGCTTTTCTCCTCTGCCTGAAAGCCCACATGAGCATACTGATCAGGTTATTAGCACATAACAGCTGTAATTCTACATCCCCACCACAGTTTGAGGAATTTATGAATTTATATCATATCTACCTCTGGTGTTCGACCTTCCATAACCTCGTAATCAGCTCTGCGCCGCTCGTCTTTACCAAAGGGACGTTTTTCTGCATAAGACAAAAAAGAATAATTGTAGAATAATAATATCTATTAGCAAGAAGTGGGATGGTAACTGTGACTATTGTTTTATAATTATTAGTGTGTACTTTTTTAATCGCACAACTCCTACTTGAGAAAAAAAGTTTAGATTCTAGGTGACAAAAGTGATGCAGTTTCAATAATTACAGTATTATTTGCAGGTAAACTTTAGTGAGAATATTGTGTTCTATCCCTGGAAAATGTCACTAGATATTATGCATCATTGGCTGATCTTCTTTTACTTAATTAACATAAAAATGTTGTTTTATCTGTTACTCTGATAGTTATTCACAGCTTCTGCAGTTTACTTAATTACTTTTTCCTCATTTGCTTGTATAGTAGACAACTTTTACTTCATCTTAAGTTATGCTGCAATTGTTGAAACATACACCGGAAACTCTGAAAATAAGAATATCGTTCAAAAGTTAATTTATTTCTGTATTAAATCCTGGGCCTGTGTGTTGTCACTGTGTGTGTGTGTGTGTGTGTGTGTGTGTGTGTGCTTAGTGTTGTCTGTCTTATACCATCAGTGGTAGTGTTGTATAACTGTTTGTAATGTACCGTTGTGTGTTTGAGAATTCTACTGCATGATATTGTTAAAACACTTTGTCTGATGGGGTTGGAACCAAATAAGCATTTGCTTCATCCAACTCCTTTTCGAACCAGGTACGGGTTATTTGTCTGTTAAATTAATATATGTAAAAATATGTATTGTGCAGGTTCGAATTTAATAAAAAAAATAAAAAAAGTGACATATACCGAGCAATGTTGATGGTTATGGGTTGCAGTCATATTGACATTTTCTGAGATGTTACATTTGGCGTTCTTTACAAACTGAGCCTATTATCAACATTATAACAAAGAAAGGTTTTATACATCTAACTTTGCTGTTACTGTATTCCAATTACCTTTTCTGAGAAACGATAAAAGTAAGGGATTACATCTGCAAAAAAGTATTGTGATTACATTTACTTTCTTCTAAGCAAGCAGCGTTACAATGCGTTACAAAACCGTGAGTGTAGTGACTTTTGTCTCGCCGACTCGTGGCTGACAAATTAATGGCGCATGAGAAATGCGACCACTGCCACGTTATAAACTGTAAATATTGCAATCAGCAACAAAAAGCATCGGAGCATTTAATTCATTTTACAAAGTCACATTGTAAGTGAGTTTAGAGAAGTAAATGGACTTTTGAACGATATTGACATTTTTGAAGTTTCACCTGTGTATTTGGCTCTGACAGCGAATACTCATACATCACAGTCATCATCAGTAAAAACAATAGAACGGACAGGGAGGAAATCAATCTAAGTCGGAAACGCAAAAGTACCATGCTTCTCTTTTCCAACAAGCAAACAGATGGAATACACAACAGCAGATGAACACACAAAGCAGCCAAAATGAGAAATGTGCATTGCCTTCAGAAAGCTCCAAGAAAAAAGACCTCACCAGGACGAAGAGAAAGAATCGAAAACAGTAAAGGCAGGGAAGAGGAGTCCGAGTCTTGACGGCACGCGCAGCCTTACCTCCGGCTGAACCTGGGACCCCCGGCGTCGTCCTGTGATCAATGCCTGGCTGATTAACGCTGAGAAGGTCCTGGCCCCTCCTGCGTGAGGCTGTCTCCGGTGTCGACATGAAAGAGCGGCTTGTGCTTGGTCGTATCACTGGAGGAAGACTGCGAGGAGGAAGCCGGCACTGCTCTTCGTCGCACCTCGCACAGTTCTCGTAGAGCGCAGACAGCCGCCCGCCTCCAGACTTGCGTGGCCTCAGTGTGATCGCAGGCCGCATGGGTTCGTAGGCGTGGGTTCTTTGAGGATCGGTCTTCCTGGAGTAGCCTAACAGATCTGCCAGGAGACTGAAAAGCTTGTCGCGTCCTCTCTTCGGCGAGTGGGAATCTTCGCTTTTCGTCTTTTTCCAGTCACCGACGGTCACTCCGTAAGTCTGCTTTGTTCTTTTTGCTACACGATTCAACATCACTGACAATTACCTTGAATGTTTCAGCTCTGAACATGGGTTGTAGATTTGCAGCCAGAAAACCAGACATACACATTTACTGGGCCTCATTTATCATTCCAATGCTAAACTGCTGGTGCAAAGTCTAACAGAGCAATTTTAGTGGTTTTAGTTCTAATGATTCGCAATTATCACAGTAACATGCAGCATTGATGGTGACGGCCTGTTTAAGACTATTATCTGGGGAAAGCAACCATATCATTGAATCTGTTCTAAAATGTAACTTATTTGATTTAGCATTTTTTATATTTTTAACTAATAAATATATTTTTTAAATATAATATACATATTATTTTCAAATAAATCTCGTCTTGATATGTGCCCCAGTTGTGGTTGAATCCACTAGAAAATAACTCACTGTTCAAGTCCATAGTTTGTCAACAATAAAGGATTTTCATGATAAGTCAGAGTGCCCTGGACTTTTTCCTTTTGGTTTTCCACTTCATTTTCCCACGGATCCTTGAGGAGCACCTACCACTCCCGTTTACGCTACATTTCTGATCCCTGTTTGCACTCACTCCTCTGTTTACGACAATTTATGTTTTTTTTTTGTTCACGTTTGGATGCATGTTTTTATCAGTACATTAAAGCACATGGGAATATGCCTTGTTCGAATTGTGCTATACAAATACATTTCAATTGATCAATTGATGAGTTGAGTTTTCCCCCATTCCATTTTAAAGGGTGCTAATCTCTTTTGCACGTGAGTAATCACTTGATTTGGTCAATGAGGAACAGGGACTTGTTTCAAGACCCCTGGGACTATCATCATCCGCACAAACACATTTCTATGGCCGATAAACAGATATTCACACCAATAAACAAGAACACTGTAACTACATCATGCCAAGGAGTCTTTTCTTTCTTTCAAAATGATGAGTTGAAACAAACATGTCACATTCCACTATTCCTCCCACTTTTTTACCTCTATTGCTGCAAAGTAAAACCTTGTGGATCCTAAGCTGCCTATTTCCATCAACATCCCTTTAGACATTGCCTTGTGTTCTATTCATTCATTCTATTTCTTTTTTGTTGTTTTCAGCTGGAATACATTGATACATGTCTGAGGCACTGCATACAAATGTCTGAGGCAGAAAGCGTCCTTCATAATCCTGACAATATTTTATGAAACAGGATATTGACCTGAAATGCTTGACAGGCCAACATACTCATCTGCTGTGATGAAACATGCTCTAAATTCCGTCGTTACTGAAGTAGATTTTCTTTTGCAAACATGCACTGACATACTTGGACGTGCACTGGCCGCGTGGATCAGACTTACCTGGTACAGCGTGTGTGGATGTCCCACTTGGAGGAATGCAAGGTGACGCCTAACAATGTGAACAGAAGAACAGATTGATTTTCTGGATTTGGCTTGGCTGAACAATCTTGGCTACACAATCTTGGCTACACAACTTGGCTACACAAACTTAGAAAAAAGTGTGATATGTGATAGTGGCATCAAGGACTGCGATAAAGATATATACAGGGATATTTTCTTGCACTTCCACAAACCAAATGAGATATTGGATATTATCTCTAACTGTTTTCAAGAACATTTTCACTCATCCCTTCCCTTTATGACATGAGAGACTGCTGGAAATGGCCGAGGACCTCAGGGAGATTCATGAAATATACTCCAAATAATGAAAACCTTTTGCTCATATTTTGCTCGTTGCTAATATTGCAATTGTCTTTAGATTTGCAGTAAGTACACGCCCAGAAGAGGGAGCTGTAAGCACACGAGCATTTAATGAGAATAACAAAGAACAGCTGTGTGATTGCGTGCATGTGTATGTTTGTTTGTGTGTGTGCAAGTGTATGTTTGTGTGTATGTGTGAGAGAGTGTGTGTGTGAAGCTTCCAGTCTCACAATAGATGTGGACACTGTGACCTGCTGTATTTTGTCCCGGAGGAGAGAGTGAAGCAGGACAGAATGAATATGAAAAGGCTGCAACAATGAGGCAGAGCTACACAGTGACACAGAAGTGATTGTGAGAACAGTGCATTGTGCCGTAGTACAGGCTGCAGTCACTCCAACTGCTTCCTGAGGTTTGTGCTTTTATGTGGAAGAACACCGGTACGTGGCTGCAGAGAGCGTGATAAATAGAACGGGTGGAGATAACACTATACATGTTATACAGAATTAAACATTTAAACTTATTAATCCTACTTAAAAGTTACAATAATTACTGGAATCTTTAGTTAAAAACATTGTATTTCAAAATGTATAATTTTTTATAAGTCTTTTCTTTTTACTGAGATCTCACTTAGTTTATTGATGCTACTCTGATGTCCTATCTAAATCTGACGAAGGCACAGATGGCCGTGGGTCTGTTCGTCTTTGAACCAAACACAGACAAAGGTTAGACACCAAGAGCTCAGCAGATGATACAATGTTGAAAAGAAAAAAGAAAACAAACCTTTAATTTTGTACTTATGTTTGGGATCTTTGTGCAGAAATATTCTAAGCTTTGAACAGATGGTAACAAAAACTTTCACCAATTAAAATACACGCTCATCACAAGTGAGAAGTGTGTCTCACCTTATACCCGCCGCACGAGGAGCAGATGGTGACGATGGTTTTGCAGAAGGGTGTGATGGCGCTGCAGATGTGACACGTGTCAGGGTGCAGGCTGTCACTAGAGGGCGCTGCACTGTTTTTGTCACCCTGCTCTGTTTGTTCAGTCACTGCCAGACTCTCTGCTGTACTGTCCAGTGTTGTAGCATCTGCTACGGCCAGGCTCTGGTCAGAAGTTTGACTGGGCTCTGTGGGCCGGTCCTGGCTCAGCTCTGAACACGCACTGTCTGGGCTGGTGTCCACACTGGTGCCCTCACTGGTGTCCACACTGGTGCCCAGTCTCTTGTCCACACTGGTGTCCACACTGGTGCCCACACTGGTGCCCACACTGGTGCCCAGTCTCTTGTCCACACTGGTGTCCACACTGGTGTCCACACTGGTGCCCAGTCTCTTGTCCACACTGGTGTCCACACTGGTGCCCACACTGGTGCCCACACTGGTGCCCAGTCTCTTGTCCACACTGGTGTCCACACTGGTGTCCACACTGGTGCCCAGTCTCTTGTCCACAGTGTCCTGCAGAAGGCTGCGGGGCGTGTCGTACAGGTAGCGCACTGAGTTGGACACCTGGTAGTCGTGTCCGAGGGCAGTCGGACAGCTGCAGGGGGTCAGATCTTGGCTTAAGTGTGGGGGCAGTGTGAACACAGAGCAGTAGTCCTCAGTGGACTGAATGTCCAGGCTGCTTGTGTAGGAGGAGAAGCTCCCGGAGTAGGAGGAGTGGCTGCCTGTGGCGATGCCGCTGTCAGAAGAGCTCTGCCTCCCGATCTCCTGCAGCTGCCGCGGGGCCTTCAGCGCAGGGCCACTGGCCGCTCCAGGGCTCACACACAGCTTCTCCATGCTGTGAGGAGGGCTCTTTGTACTGAGTTGTGCAGAGTGTTCGGTGGGTGCTGGGTCGCTCCATATCACCAGCCGACTGCCGACACTGCAGTCAGACTGACTGGTGTCCGAGGTGTCGGAGGAACCAGAAATACTGCGGTCATCTCCTCCAGCGGACGGGCACGATGCCGACGAGACTGCAGAGACATTACACATGTTCTTTTCATGTGATATGGAAACAAAACCAAATCAACAAGTTTGACATAAAACTGACTTGAGCTGTTCCGGTGAGACAGCATGCTGAGGCGCTTCTCCAGCTCCTGCGTTTCATGGTTCAACTTCTCTTCAGAATTGGACTGATTCAGATTGAGCTCTGTCACACAGAGAACATATGATAGAACTTATGTTTTTAATAATTATTTTTTATAATACTGAATCTTTACATCAGCCTTTTATTTGTACATGTGAACTGTGTCGAGCCTGTGACACAGGCATCTGTGTGAAATGGCAAAACAAGCGTGTAAACTGCTTTGTTCTGATATTACAGCAGAGCAACAAGTGCAGCAGGCCTTTGAAAGATGAGGGAAAGGGTCAGACAGGAGAACACCTAACAGTATGTGGGCGCCAGTACATGAGTCTAAAATAGCGCTGCCACACAGGCTGTCTGGTGACACCAAGACGGACTGACATCAAGGTCACAAACTTCACTACTGGCCCCAAAGTCAACAACATCTTTAAGAACTGTATGTGTTATCTACAGTTTGTTTAATGTCTAGTCTCTGCTCGTAGACGGTGCATTGTATTGATTCAAATGACAGAGATTGAACTATGTACAGTTGAAGGAATAAAACAAAACAAAAATGTTGTTCTGTCATCACACATAAGTGTTGACACTTTTCTTTACACAGCATTTCCAACACCTATATCTTTGGATGGTCAACACCTGGTCTCAAATGGTTATCCTTGATATTTAGTTTTGTTCTCAACAGAAGTGGCAAAACACTAGTCTTGGGTAAAGATTCGGCTGATGTATAGATTCTAGTATTGTTGAATGATAGACATATTTGTTATGATATGTCGTGGTGCCGTCTGCAAAGTAACATCTCATTTTGATATGTAAGAAGTCCAAAAAACATGAATCTGGCCCTATAAGTAAAGAATGACGGTAAAAAGGTAACCAAAACATACAGTACGATAATAGCTTGTTTGTACTGGTTCTCAATTGTCAGCAATAATTAAGCAAAATGTGATAGTTTCTAAACCACAAATGTTGTATCTTTCGTGCTTTGGGGGAGGCGGTGGGGGTGGGGTATAGGGGGAGGGCAGTGGAATCCAGGATGAGGTTTCAGAAATGCTCCGAGTGATTAGCGCACTCGGGCTTCTCTGCTGGTGTCGGACGGTGACTTTGAGCCCCCCTCGTCCTGACATCTTCCCTGCTATTTATTCTACTACAGGCCACGATAAAAGGGCCCAGAGCCACACCTCTGATTGGTCAGCCTGACGTGTGGAAACTAGAATATCCACCTCAACAGCAAACGTCCGCAGCGCTCCGAGTGGCGGAACGGGTGAGAGAAATCTGTAAAAGTGTTGGCGTGGGGAGTAATGGTGTTGGAAGCAGACTGCTGGCTGAGATGATAATTAAAAGCAGTTTTGGTTTCACTGGAAAGGTTATGAGATAGAAACGGACCTCTCCCTCCCACGCTTGGCACAGTACACACAATAAAGTGAGGAATGCGTGATATTCAAAACTAAAATTATGATTCATTTTTGTTTAGTCCTTTATTCTCAGTTAAAGATGGAGTACCTATTTTGTTGGTGTGTGTAAATAATTTGTGTTTGTTCCAACAGAAAGAGTTTAAATACAAGAGTTAAATATTGTGAAAAAATCAGATACTGATTTCATCTTCTTAGAAAACATTTCATCTTTTGCAGTCCTGTAAAAAAACAGTTTAGGCTGAGAGATGATTGGCTGAGTGAGAATGATCCTCTTTCGTTTCATTATTTAGTCTGAAAAAATTTATCTAAAACTGTCAAAGTAGGAACAATACAAAAACTAGTGGAAACTAGTAATAGACCCAGTGCAAGTATTGTTATTGCACGGTTAAATTTTTTGAGGTTGGAAAGTCAGATACCCCAGCTTTAATCAAATAAGTTATGTTACAATGACTTATGGACGTAATCTTTTCCATATACTGCATTATTAGACAAAGAAAGGCTTGATTCAATTGTCAACATAGTTTAAAACTAAGCAATACTGAACCTAAATGATGAAAAAGTGCTCCCCAAATCCACTGATCTTTGTTTATGGTGGTTTTTTCTTAAATAAAATGTTGCATGATTGTTGTGGATGGAGCCTCAGCTTTAACAAACTTATTTTCAGCAACAAACCAACCACACGCTGTCAAACTGTCCAATAACAGGAACAAGAGGGTGGACAGGATCCTCATCGATAGCCATCTACTTACTCTTGGAATTTTGGCCCAAAAACACCAGAAAAATACAATTGTGTCTTTTTAGACCATACACTGCATAAAGTTATGAAATATAAGTCAAAAATTGCTAAAATTGTGCTAAAGCTATATTAATTTGAGCACATTCTGACTACCTTGGAATAAGAAAAAAAAAAAAAAAAATCTTCAAATAAGACTAAATGCTTGTCGTATTGGCAAATCATGTTTTACGACAGTCAGAATGTACTCAAATTTCAAAAATACCCACTCAATTCAAGCAATTACCTATTTTATCATTACTTTTGCAGTGTAGTTGCATGAGTAGGAATAAGGAAAAATGCTCTGCCGCAGTTTGACAAAATAATTAGCAAACAAATACATGTTAGAGTGATCGGTACGATAGAAGGACATCCAAGCTTGTCGTCACATTGTTTTGTCCTCCGTGTCGCGAACTAAATTTAACCCATGATTCCACACAGTATGCAGTGGCAGGTAGTGACCCAAAAGGCTTATTTCGAGCTGCGTACACCTAAATCAGGCTGGGGACGGCGATGGATTACCCAATTACATTAAACAGCTGTCAGTCACAAAGCGGGCACATCAAAGAACATAAATCCTCTGACTAACGCAACCTAAAATTGGATAATTCTAGGAAGCTATGATTATAATAACGTCATAGAGAGACCAGGAGCCTCACACAAAATGGTGTTCTAGGTTTTGGAGGCAAGCGTGGGCAGTTTGCTTGACCCCGCTCAGGGCTATTAGATGTCCTGTAGTGAGTGAGTGAGTGTGTACCGACCGGGCAGAACTGGCCGGAGTCCAAAGGGGCCTCTGGTGGGAGAGACGCCACGGACCACGCAGTCGAACAGGAAACTGATTTGTTCGCTTTCACCAGACGCCAGCAGGAACACGCCGGCCCCTGAGAACATACAGGAGAAATGTAGTCAGGCTGGATGCTCTGGGATCAAAGAGTTTATAATTATGATCTTATTCAATCAAGTCAAATTGTCTTCAGCAGAGTTCGAAGTAAAGGTGGTGTAAAAATCAACTCTAGTATAAGTCATATTAGTAATATTTTCGCCTACTTATACGAAAAGAATACAGGTGTAATGTTTATTTCTGACTATGGGACACTGCAATTGTGTACTGTAAATATTTTTCAACAATAACATAATTTTAAAAGTCATGTCAAAACCCTTGTCATGTACACCACCACCAAAATGAATGGATGAAAGTAGTTTAACCGTTAATAAGAGGCTGCAAGGATTGTATTAATTTGAACAAACCAGGAAGTTTTGTTGAAAAATTAACCGAAAATCTTTCATTTTTAGACTTTTTTTTAGACGTTTCATATGATAAACAAAAACAAGAGCAAAAGTTGTATATGAGTTTGGCGCTTAGACCCCAGCTGAAATATAACATTGAGAACAGAGTTGAATAGCCCTGTTATTGGATTTAAAAAATTGTCGTGTAGCTCGCCCTTCAGTCTCCTCACGCTCTATAGCCCCGCCCCTTTGAGGAAGTACTGATGAAACAAGCTCCTCCTCTGACAAAGTTGCAATACAATTATATTTTTAATGGCTGGTTTAATGGCTGCTTATAACTTATAACAGATTTTTTTTAAATTGGCAAAGAAAGTAAGTAAACCCTGGGAGAGGAGCTCGGTGCATGTAGTCAGAGGACTGAGGGGAGAGCCATGGTGGCGCTCATATATATGGATATAGATATAGCTGCATGCAACGCACTAAAAACAGCTTTGTGTGAGTGAATGGCAGGGAAAACCACTAAATGGATAAAGTCAAATTCAGGTTGTGTCTTTCTCCTGGTACAAACAACACCTATTATTGGGGCAAACACAAAAATTAGATACCCCAGCTTTAAATCAACAGAATGGTCGTCTTATTTTTAGCTGGAGTCTATACACATCCGGTGTAGGACCCGAACCAAAAGCAAAGTGAGAACACCAGACAGACAATTGAGGAGTTATAGGGAAATGTTGTCTCCAAAATAAATAACTTCCTTCTGTGGATTGCAGAGCGGTGCATGGTGGGAAGTGGGAAGTGTAAGACCCAATCTGTGCTTTTTTTCACCCAAACAGCCACACATTTATGCAAGAAAATGACACGTGCTTTAAATGTTTATTATTCTGAAACATGGGCAGCACGCAGTAAGCTCTCTAAACACTGGGAATGTTGAAGGATGTAAATAAGATATTAATCAATCCTGAAATTTTAATTGTTTGTCGTTGTAAATTAGACTTTATCACAAGTTTGGATCAATGCTTTATATCTATATTTTACTTTTGTATAACTTATAACTAATTCCTAGCCTGTTACTTACTTAAATAATTCTGATTCTGAAAACTTGATGCTGACTTGAAAATGTATCTATACTGAAATAATAACACCTTTAACGTAAATGTAGACGATTCTGGTTTGTCAGAAACTGCTTTTACGATTTTTAAAAAAATCTTCACATAAAGAAGAGAAAATGTGAGATTCTTTGAGAAATTATTGCTGCATTCTTCTGGACAATTCTTAATTTGATCATCTGCACTATTGTATGTCTATGTGTGTATTTATACTGTATACTAGAATTGTATTTTCACTAAGTCCTCCTTGGTAGTTACAAGAATAAATTAGGTCCATAGTGCGTGTAATTTCTGAATTTTCATAATTTTGTTTTTTCTATTACAAGAAGATTGATAGAAGTCAAATGAACTCCATAGTCACTCTAGTGTTAAATAACATCAGAGGTTTATTCATCAGGTTTATTGAAATGAAGTGCCTCATATGTTGTCTACCAAAGCAGAGCGTGTCGACAGTGCATGATGAGACTTTTTAGAAAAATGATAAGTTATAAAAGATAACCACGGGGGTCCAGCTGTGCGGCAGCTGTACAACTCCGTCCATTAACGGCCTCATAAAAAATAGTTTATAACACGTATTTTCCAGCATAAGAAACAACTGCGTGATATCATCTGAAACGAGAAACCTCCAAACAACACAAACTTTAATATAAATCTTAAAAGTCATAAAAGTCCATTTGAGGAGCACGTACAGCACAGACACTGTACTTTTCCACACACCAGCCTCAACATGGAGCTTATTACACGATAATGAAGTGGGAAAAGACAAACTATTAAGCTTCAAAACGCATTACAATATTCATACGGCTGTTGTTAAATTATTCTGTAGTCTCCCGTCATAAATCTTGAGAGACATAAATGATTCATGGCGGCTGCCTGTTGAGAGCAGCCTCCGCAGACTGGAGAAGTTTCATCTCAAAAACATCACGAAACACAAAGACACGCCTCTAAGCTCTGATACGTACGCGGTAATTAATGTGGACGGCTCGAGGTGCAATAATTATGAAGCAAAATTACACAATCAATAACCAGTGATGACAAAGAGATGTTAGTAAAGGCTGATTCAATGTCCCCCAGTCACACAACACAACCAGTAAAATAATTATTCATCATTTATTCAAAGTTTCTGAGCTCTGGGATGGATAATTGCACATTTAACAGCAAATATATCACACCACGGCTTATTATGGTGTATTCTTGTGGGAAATAAATGCGGAGCCAGAGCATATCTTGGGCTGGGCTTCTACCGACCAGTCATTAACCAGGACTTAACCAGGACTTTACCATTTTGAACACCCAAAAAAATATGTATTTACTTATTTCTTTTGTGGACATGATAATACACAACACTATTACACTATTACAAGAAGTGATTGTTGTCCTGTCACACAATCGACAGTCACAAAAAATAGTCAAATATGGTTAGAATGTTAAGTTGAATCTTGTTTTTTTTTAAGACCAACAAAATGTGCTTTTGGTCAAGATTTTCCAATGGAACAAACAAATTCCCATTCCCAAAAAAATGCTACTGTGATTGAAAGAAGACATGTTTTGTGTGTTCCTTTGGCAAATCTTGTCATTTCCAAACGTACTTTACTGCCAAAAATGAGTTGAATTAGCCTGGTCCAAACGTTTGAGAGAACTAGCAAATTTGACCAGCAAGATTAGATTATATTATTGTCTTTGTGGAATCGTACTGATAAAAAAAACATGTTTCAGGACTGAACATTTAGACTCAGATAAGATTGTTAGTCTTCTATCTGTTCAAGCTGCACAAATGTAAATATCATATATCTGATGTATGTATTAAGACATGGACAAATAAATTAACAATATTTTAATTTAAACGTTTAGCACATTTTTTGTGTGTGTTTTTTTTATATGTTTGTGGCTGCAGATGGGAGAGAGGTGTGTGGTCAGGGAGTGTTTGGGCCAGTGTCTGTGTGAGTGAGAGAATGAGTGTGCGTCTTTGATGCAATGATACTAATGAACTGTACAGTGTTAGTATAATTTGTATTTGCTGAAAGTGTGAGAGGGAGTTTTTATTTGATAATTGATATTTTTATCTTGTTTTGTGCAGGTTTTGAAATAAATAAATACATACAGTACATACATACATGTATGTGTGTGTATATGTGTATGTATGTATGTATGTATGTGTGCATATATATATATATACATATATATATGTATATATATATATGTGTGTATGTATGTATGTGTATAGGTATATATATATATATATGTATATCATTATTGTGTTTTTTTTTTCTTGTTTTTTTTCTTCTTTCATCTCTGAAGCTTGAGCTCATTTCTTGCGGTCTTGCTAAATCTTGTACTTGTTTTTGCTTTTGTGAATAGGGATAGGCGTAATAAGTGTATAACTTCAGCCTAAACCCTTTCGGTCTGTGAAAATGTCTTTTTGTGAAATGGTTGTGCCTAATGTATTTTGTTGAACACCGACCGAATAAATTAATGAATAATAAGATTCTCAGATGTACATTTCACCAGCGAAACCAGCAGAAATATGACTGATAAACAGTAAGCATGTGAAAAGTTGTCTATTTAGGACTATTTTAACGTGCTCCTCTTTACAAATTATCATAATCCACTTTTGTGCACAATCTGGTGACATATTTTTTTATCTTGAAGCGCAATGTTGTGGTGGATTTTGTCCCATCCCACAGAGATACAGCATATTATTTATGAAGAAAACACTTGAATAAAACCTGCAATGCAAAATAAACTATTCAGTGACTTGCTACACTCATTTTCAAGACTCGAACAAGAAAAATCTGTCTGGTTTACTCCATTCTTTTGTGTAAATAACAACACAGCAGAATACAAATGGGACTTTATGGACGCAGACTTCATTCCCATAGTCACAGTAACGTTATTTCACAAGGACGGTCTGTTCCTCTCAGTCTTTTCTTTCACGTTTGACTCAAAGCCACGAGTGATTCATCTCTCTTCGCCGGTGATTATTTCGAGTATTTGACAAAGACACAAAAGCACAGCCCCCACGTTCGTCGACTGGGCTAATGCGCCATGACGTCACTCAGTTTGACACACATTTATTCTGATAAGTACAGACTGACTAGGATAACTTTAGGTGCAGAGACGACAAAAAATCATCTAATTTTATGTCTCCATTGTTCTTTCTGTAATCATTATCAGATAAGAGCTACACAACTGCGCTAAGTAAACCCGAGTCTCGTTGACAATTCTAACAGACATGTTTAGGATATTTGCATTTACAAGAACTAGTTGGCTTCTTGTTAAAATAAATCACGGACATATTTGCGTGGACACCTTTTTCCAATTTCTTTGTTGCAGGCTGAAAGAAAATAAAATCTAAAAAAGCAAAAAAGTCCAGACTCCCACCAAGAGCCACAGTTCCATTCCTTAAGCCGCAGATCTTCCAGGTCAGGGATGTCAAACTGGTTCTCAAAGGGCTGATGTGGCTGCAGGTTTTCGTGCCAACCAAGCAGGAGACACCAGACTACACCCATTTCCAAATGTGAACCCTATCTTTTTCTTTCCTTTACTTAGAAACCTGAGGGAATGGGTGGAGTGTGGGGTGCTCCTGCTTGGTTGGAATGAAAACCTGCTGCCACATTGGTCCTTTCTGGTCCTCCGGGTAGAGCCACCTCTGGGACCAGGGGCAGACAGAGCAGCAAAGCAACAAATCCTTCCTAAAACTATTCCTGAATCCAAATATAATCACTTGTCCTTTGTGCCACTGTGTTTTCTGAACATTTTGCCCAAATCCTCTCATAATTTCATGGTTTATGGCGCGGACTAACTAACAAAAACTGGCAATCACATAAACGCCTCCCAAGAGTAAGCCGAGGTAATCATCTCCACCGTCTGCTGCGTCAACCATTTTGCTTTTGCATGAATTTGTTTGAACAGCGTCACATTCACTTTTAACTACTATACATTTGCTATTGTGAGTATTTTCCGATTCATAGAAATAACGCTCTTTCACAGAATCACACATCATATTGTATAGATGATAATATGTCCTATGGCGTGGTAGACTTACAGTATCCACAGCGGGTGCCTCCCTCAAACACAAAGCCGTTGGGCACTGGTCCATAGCGGCGCAGGTCAGGCAGGTTCCAGTGACCGATGATGACCGGGGGGACGTCCCGAGCCAGAGCCAGCAGGGTGTTGCACAGGTGAAGAGTGGCGGGTCCCGTCTCCAACTTGGTCCCAGGTAAAACAGCCACACAGAACCTGTGAACTGAGAGCACAGAGAAGGACGAGTATAGTCGATATTCATGTCAAATGTGACAAAAGAAATAACAGGATACACAAATAAATGCTCTCAGATTTGATACATGTGATATTTATAACTTGTGTTAAAAGATAGGTGTTGCATCATTTGGCAATAGATAATCTCTTAATCATCACTGCAATTTCCACATCTAGGAATCCTACACAGGCATGGAGAGAACAAGCAAAAGTGCTGCAGGATTCATTGCAAATCTAGATCTCAATGAATCCTACACAGGCATGGAGAGAACAAGCAAAAGTGCTGCAGGATTCATTGCAAATCTAGATCTCAATTACTGTGGTCACAATAACCAAACCATAAAGACTTATTTAAAGTATTCAAATTTGGGAAAAATGTCTCTTGTATGAGTATACTGTATTTTGGAGATTCTTTTATCAGACAGAAGCATTATTTTCTCTTTCCAGAGAAATAAGCTAAAAACTGTCAACATTTGTTCAACAACTCAGGTCTGACAAAAAGACAGAAACTACTTGATTTGTTTATACCACCTTAACATTTTTGCAATGAATCTGCAAAAGGGTAAAAATGTGGACACAGCTCTCACATTCCTGCCTGCTGTGTTCATGTGAACAGCAGATACAATGATAAGCTGAAACACACCATTTGTTTTTATATGATTAGGATCATTAGCAGTTCTTGACAGATTTTAACAGTTTCAAATCATCAAAATAAAATCATTTTCACTCAACTCATTAGGTTTTAGTGGGAATTAATAATAATATGAATATTGTCAAAACAGATTGGACTAACCAGAGTGTGTGTTTTAAGAAAGTGTTAAAGCCACATGTGATTAAATAATGTTTTGATCAGTAAAACAGTCTAACAGCTTTGATTTGCTTCATCAGCTCTACATGACAACAAGAGTCTGCAGCTTGTGTTTGGAGCGGCTTGTATGTGGGAAAAAATACTCCTTTTAAAATGCAGTCGGTGTGATTTAGTTGAGGAAACTACTGTAATTACTTCATTTGTCAACTTTTTCACATGTAACTCTTGAAAGTGTTATTATAACTCTCTAATAAAACCAATCAATCCACTTTTATTTGTAAAGCGCCTTTCCTCCTCAAGGCAACACAAAGCGCCTCACAACCCATTCCACAGCAGGCATAAATCATACAAAATAAAATCTACATTAACAAATACTATTAAAGAAGACCTCAAGAAATATTAAAAACAAGTAATTAAAAACCATATTACTATTATCAGTCATGAATAAGACTTTTTAGACAATCCGGCAAATCAACAAGCAAACATTGGTCAGAGATATCGCAATGAGATATTTTGCTTAAATCGTACAAACTCCAACAAAGAAAGGGTCTTCTAGCTGTGAGGCGAGAGTGCTGAACCGCTGCCCCATGGTGTGGATTTCATGTGGACTTGTTGAAACTGTAAAATGTAAATGGTACAAAGAGTCCACTCAGCATGTGGGGAGAACATGGAACCACAGAGTTTGGGAAATAATGGTATTAAACAGGAGTAAAGTAAACAGTTGTGTGATGGACGCGGACAAACAGCTGCAGACACGAGGGGAATCCCAGCTCAGACTCATTCTTCACACATCCACACATTCATGTTGTTTAGCCAAAAGAACATTTCCATAGAAGTGAGCAGGAAGAAGCCCTCAACACAAATATGTCACGTCTGCGGAGATTAACTACTTTGGTACAAAATGTAGTCAAACAAAAACATAGGAGAAAGAAGGAAACCCGAGGCACTCTTCACAAAAAATAAAAATCCTTTGATGAACACATTTCTTCTTCGTTTCCAGTGATTTTGTTGCTGCAGATCCTGTCCCACTGTAGCGTTCGTCTCTCTTGAATTTTTCGTACAAAATGATGTCATGTCTGTGGAGATCAGCTGCTTTGGACCATTTACCCTGGTACATGGTTTCCTCAACCTTTTGGATCAAGCTTGAACTGAAATCTTCCTCATTGGGGCATCTCTATCACTTGGTTAAGGCACTTAACCATCAAACTGCATCTAAACCATTTGGTACAGGCCTATATTTCAAAAACTTGGGGGTTAAAAAAAACAAAACCAAAAAATGTGTTTTTATTAGTGCTCCTACATCTTAGAAAATCCCAAAAAGTTAATATTTAAGTGTGAACATACGACCATATAAGGGTTAAACTAAATTCAGTCATACAAAATTGTATACTGTGTGTTATAATTAATACCAATCTGAACTTAATCTATTTGTTTATTTGTGTTGAAAAGCAGGTGAAGCTGTTGGGTGGCCGCGGTGATGACAGGTCTGCCATGTGTCTCTCGTCATCACTGCAGTGTAGCAGTCATTTGTTTATGTGACAAGGCTCAATAAAAGCAGTGTGGACAGTGGCTCGGGGCCCGGGGCCTGGGGCCACGTCAGGGGCCACACACTCTGCAGCGTGTGTATAGCACAGGTGCACTGTTTACATAGGAGCCCACTGACAACAACAACAGAGTGTCCTCTGCTAAACCTTCAAGTAACATTGGACTGGAAGTCCCCAAGTAAATGCACTTTTGTTATGTTTATGTTCACATGGCACCAAAGCTCGGCTCGTATTGATCCAATAATGAATGAATGCGACACAAGTGTACAACAACTAACCCCTGTGTCATAGAAAAACAAATGGTGTTGCCATTTGATCACTGTGTCCACATTTCTCATGTTCTTAATTGTTAACTGTGAACCAAACAAATACTAATGCTAAACAGACCCTGCTTGTGTTTACATGAACACTAATGTACAGTGTATGTTTATTCTTTTCTGCCTGATGTATTTGTCTTCAATGACTCAAGGGAGTAATTTTATGTAATACTTTATCTTTAGACCGGCGTAGGCTACAGTTTCCTTGTGGTTCAATAAATGATGAAGCCGTATCCACAGAGACAGGGCTGAAAACTAATGATCACCTGTATGGATTTTATAAACTAAATCTCTGACCAACAAGCTGCAACTCATGTTTGTTTGTTCAATTTGTCACCAATAGACAGCAGAATATGAATCAGTTTACACATGATTCATGATGTTTAAATGTGCTACTATCTGATATTGCTTGTGCCACATGCAGCAAGTATGAAGGAAGGAAGTAATATGTGATTTAAACACAAGACGTGTATCTGACCTTCCCCCAGGCTGTATCGGAGCCGGGCCTCCCAGCACAGCAGCGCGTCTCTCGAGTCAAAGCCCAGAAGAACACTCTGGTTCAGACACAAGATGGAGAGAGTGAAGGCTGAGCCCTCAAAGCACTGTCCTGTCTCCACTCCACAGATCTGCTCCAGAGTCACACAGAGCCTCTCTCTGCTCCCCTGGGCGCGCTCACTCCTGTCTTTATGAACTAGCAGCACCAGGCAATCTGCAAGCACACACACATCACATTTACATTCTATAACTGTAGGAAGTGGCATGAAGTATGCTTCTGAATCAGGAGTGTATTACGTGGACAAGAGCAGCAGAGGCTGTTGCACAATCTCACACACTGCTGAAAGATGAGTCCTACAGCTGCAGTCGCTGGATTTTTCCTGAACATTGATTTGTCTCAAACAACCTTTGAGTCTATGGTTAAGCTGTAGGCAGACTGTAGTTACATGTTTTATGTATTTATGTATTATTCATTAGGCGTAATTGAAATGTAGTGAGAGGTCATCAGGCCCTTGGCACTTCAATTTCAGTGACCAAACAGGAGTGCGTGTGCTCCTCTCTCCTTCACACGATTCTTAAAGCGCATAGCAGAGGCATGAGCGCGGACAGCTGCGATAACAGCGACATCAAAGATGCGGATCAGTCTGAGTCCAACCTGAGCTGTGGCTCCGGACTGCAGTCAGAAGTGCACAGGGGCCAAAACCACTTTTCTCCTCAGTCCTCTAGAGATAAAGTTATAAGACTGCACTATACACACTTGTATCATAAAAGACACAACAGGTCATCACACAGATAGTCTGCAGATTGATGGATTGGAATAAGATCGACTCCAGACTGATGCATAAATACACTGCGTGAATACTCCGCGTGACGCAACACTTTACGTGCGTGCACTTGTTTACGCACAAAGCACTGCACGTGCGCAACAGATTTGATCAAACTGGCAAATATTCTTAGTCAACGTGGCAAAAACCTAATGAGACGTAACAGACTGTGGTCTATGGACTGGACCAAAGCGGGACAAGCCTCACCTGCTACGGGCGATGGTTTGCGAAGAACGATCCACCTAGTTTTCCACTGCGGAGGAAACAAGTGCACAAAGTTTAGTTTTGTTTACGGGGAACTCGTAACTGTTCTTTATGCATTGACATCAGACCTTTTTCCCGTCTCTGAGTCTGGCATATCCCTCCACGACCACAGAATCCGTCATCTTCAGTCATGGTTCCTGACAGCTGCAGAGGCGCTGCCTGACTGAGGTCACTTTCAAAATAGCTGCGCTCTTCGCGCAAACTCGCCCCCAGCGCCGCACATGCAACAGCACGGGCCGTGTGTGTGTGTCCCACTGTCTGCCACCACGGGACAGCACGGGACAGGGGCAGGACCAGTGCGCCAGGTCACTGCAGACAGGCCTGCTGACCCCACCCCACCAAATGCCAAATGTTCAAATATACAATTATTGCTGTCTTTACCATGTATCGGGTTTACCAAGTATGATGAAGAATAATGAATATTTGTAATTAGGCCTACAGTTACAAATGCACCATATCAGTCCATGAGCTACGTCAGTTCTATATTTGTAAACAGCAAGGCATTGAATAGAAATACTACAATCAAATAATAAAATGAAATCAATAATAATCATTATTATTCATGGCATTTATGTGTGTCATGACACTCTGAGATCAGTAATTATATGTAGTCATGTTGTTTATAATAAGAATAGTTTATTTAAATTCACAGTATAAAAACAATAAGTTACAACATTACAAAAACAGGGCACAATAACATAAAAGGTAATTGAATAAAAACTAGAGTCTCTCAAAAGTCTGTTCATCAAGTGTTGGAGCTGCGTCCGATCACAGTGTTGATCCAGTCCATGTAGTTGAGCACTTTGGTGTACACTCCGGGTTTGTTGGTGCGTCCACAGCCCTCTCCCCAGCTGATGATGCCATACAGGAAGCTGACGTCATCCTTCGCACAGGCCAGCGGCCCCCCGGAGTCGCCCTGAGGGAAATCACACACGTGGAGTATGCGGCCTGCGTCTATATAAACATACATGCAGCGATCAAAGCCCAAACACGCTATTAATGAGGATTTACCCGAGCTCCCTGGAGATGAAAGTGTGAGACTATGTTTCTCTAAGTGCCTCATACACTCCGTTAAGTTTAATGCAAACTATTCTTAGTCATGCACAGGGTTTACAGCTGACGCATTTACTGTCTGGATATGATCCAAATGATAAACGATGTCCAATCTGTTGCTTCAATGATTTTATTCAGTGCCTTAGAAAGATGTAACATGCACCTTTTTTCTTACCTAATATCATGGCTAAATATTGTTCAAATCAACTGAATATTCAACAGCTCTGAATATTCTAAGGAAATATTCTCATTTTGAGGTATAGAGTTGTGCTATATTTAATATTCACTTATCTTGTGCTGTGCTCCTCTGACATTTCCCCACTGTGGGACAAATAAAAGATCTCTTAATCTTAGTCTTAATCATCAATTATCATGTTGACAATTTGCACATTGTAACAGTCAAACGGCTCTGGAATTAATTAACAAATTAAAAATCATCTCCAGAGACAATAGTGATTTACCTCAGGTCAAAATGACCCGTCACAGGGAAAAAGTAAAAGAAAAATACCTTAAATTAGTGTCTAAAAGGGTCTAAATGACCACGGCCAGGTCAAGTTATATCAAGTCATCAAATTCAGCTCAAAAAATAAAATATCTAGGATATTTTTAAATCCCTGTGGCAGGTCAATTTGACCCAAGGACTGGTTTAGAGAGTTCTTAACCTGCTGCTGGGGAGAATGTCAGTGGCTAAAAACCCTTTCCAAAGAGCTCCCCAGAGGATTTTGTAATAACAAATGATCTGCTGAATATTTGAAATGTTTTTATTCACATGAACAACTGTTCTAAATGTATGAGATGCATCCTGTAGGTCCTGCCTAAATGCTCTCTGCAACAAAATCCTTTCACTGATCTGATATTGTACTGAATGTGTCGCAGAAATAAAGGTGCCAAAACCCCTCTAAAAAGAACTTTTCTTTCACAAACAGCAGCTGACTCCCAGCCTTTGAGCGGCATGAGTACAGTCTTAGTGTGTGCAGTGCATGATGGTACCTGGCAGGCGTCCGCGCAGCCGTTGAGTCCTGCACAGATCATGTCAGACGTGACGTGGTTTCCATAAACTTCAGGTTTTCTGCACGATTCATGAGAGATGAGCCGGACTCCAGCCTCCTGCAAACTGGAGTAGCCCTCTGCCTCTGACAGAAACACATCACATTTACTTATTTCTCTTTAGGGCTGTAACTATGGGAGTAATATCTTTGGCTGTAGAGATGAGATGAGATGAGGCTTTATTATGGAGCTTACGGTAAAGACATTGCTGTGTTTTTGTTAGTTTTGTGAACGAGGAGGGTTTGTTGTTGTCATGGTTTTTGTTCTCTGTTCTCATCGTGACAATAAAGACTAATCTTATCTCCACTAACAAAAATCTCTGAAGTGAAGACTCTGAAGAAAAAAAAGACAAAATTATGTTTTATATTAAAAAGAATATACTTAAATATATTTTCTTTATAATACTAATGCATAATGGTTAATATCATGGAGGACATGTATTATTTTGATCATAATTGAAATACACATATTATATTATACAGTCAAAGTTATTATCTGTAGCAGGAAGTTTATGAGCAATTCTTTCTTGTTCATTGTTTTTACTACATAATAGTTTATAACCCTAATATTGTGTGTAATTCTTCCACTGCCCTCTCATCTCAAACAAACTAATATGTTTGGGGCTGCAGTATTTCAAGTGTATATTGTGTACATAATTATGAGTTGAAAGGTCTTGCACAACTAAACAAGCTTGAATCCCGAAGAAAAGGTTATTTATTGTACATTTGATTGCCGCATGTTTGTAATTCAATAGAGCAATACTTCAAATAACAATTATGAATTGGATTAAGTGCACGATGAGTGAGAAAAACATGGCCTTTCCCCATTCCGGGCGCTCACTTCTGCTATTGACAAACAACAATCAGCAAGAACAACAAACCAATGACCTCTTTTGTTTTGTTGTCATTATATGAAGTTCATGTCTGTGGGTGGTCTGCTGCTGCCTCATCACTCACTCTCTCGAATATGTCCCCAGCCACTGATAGTGCAGCAGTAGTCATCAGGGAACAGCATGCCTTTGTCCGGGAGGCAGAGCGGACGAATGAACGGGGTTTTCCTCACGCAGCGGCCGTCCTGCTTCTTCAGCTTGATCAGAACTGATGCAAACACAGACATGAAAAAGACAGGAAAAAGAACAAATTGAAATGATGTTCATGAGGTGAGAGTCTACAAGTTTTTACTAGAGAGAAATTTTACTGCTTCTTTTTGTGCTAGAATTTGATTTGATTTCAGTATAGACTTATTAGTCATGTATCTTATGCTGTGTGATCCTCATTCCTACTGTTCTGTAACTTGTGACGCAACACTGAAATTTCCCCACTGTGGGACGAATAAAGACGGCCTCACCACCTCTGCTGCCGTGACCTAAAGCAACTTTTAGAATCTTGTATTTATTTGTTTTCTGTCTGTCTGTCTGTCTGTCTATACATCTATCTGTCTATCCATACATCTAGAGATATATCTATCTCTATATCTATACATTTATCTATCTATCTATCTATCTATCTATACATCTATCTATCTATCTATCTATCTATACATCTATCCATCTATCTATACATCTATAAACTAAGGGATGTAAATATTGTAAATACTTATGAATGTATAATTTCTACGCGACTGAATCAAATCAAATCAATCCATCAAGTGTGTTAACTGGCATGTGCTAGACAGCGAGACTCCGTTGGCCCCGTGAAAATGCCACGCAGCTCCATGACTGTGTTGGCATGGTGGTGGTGGAGGGGGGGGGGGGGGGGGGGGGCACAGCTGTTGAGAGCCACAGCTGTGCTTTTGAGGTTTCTCTTGAGAGGTCTTCAAGTTTGCATGAGTCACTGCGCTTGTGCAAGAGTCTGATACTCACCGATGTCGTGCAGCGTGGGGTCGTAGACGGAGAACTGTTTGGGAAAGACGTACTTCTCCACTCCGAAGACTCTGGTGTTGGGCCCCGTGACGTTGAACCGGTGCTGTCCTAACACCACGCGGAGCTGGGACTTCAGAGGGCTGTGGGGCCAGGACAGACATGGGACATTTCAAACTCATTCCCTCACAATTTAAGATTGAGATTATTCGCTGTTTGCAGGTGAAAAACCACATTGGGTTATTCCTGCAAAAAATACTTAAAGGTGATGTCAGCAACTTCAATTTTATATCCCATAGTAGGGACTTCATTACAGTGCTATTTGGCCTTCATATTAATGCCTTTAGTATTTATTTTCATTGATTCCTTCAAGCTTTAGTTAGAGAGCAATCTTTTTCTGCGATTATTCTCAAGAGGCAGCAAAGCGCATCAGTTCGACAGGGGGGAAAATCAAATCAGCGAATCAGGGCATGCAGCCTCTGTACCGAGTCCAGTGTCTGGTCCCGCATCTACCACCTCGAGCGATACTGTTTTTCCTACTGTTTTTCTGCTGAAGAGGAGAATAGTTAAACCAATCACGAAGAACCATATGGATTTGAATTCATTTTGACCAATCAGAAGGCTGCAGGGGTGAGCATGGATAGATGCTAACTTTTAACGTCTTCAAGTTTCACTCTCTTTTAGTGAGTTTTAAAAGTATCTGACATTTACTTTAAGACAGAAAAACACAGGAAAACAATTGACAGTGAGACATATGAAAATAAGTACATACTAGAAGCGATAAAGTACTAGATCATCAAATATAAAGTGTTCCATTCAGTCCGGTCATTCAAAAATGGTGTCTGTCTATCTATCTATCTATCTATCTATCTATCTATCTATCTACCTACTGGTGCACACTGAGGTAGTCTTGCACAGTTTTTCCAATGTGGTTTTACTGCAAATGGTAAATAAACTCTTGAATCTTGTATGTGCTTATATGTAATTCTGCCAGAGTCTGAGGTTTTCTCTTGGCGCTCCGGCTCCTCGTTCCATACATGGGTCAGGTGTGAGATTGGTGGCGGTTGTAGAGGGCTATAACGCAGGTCGGCAGCTTCCATTCAGTCGCCAACGAGACCGGAGTGAACGACTGTGGACTTGAGTGAAAGGCTTTGAAGCGTCATAAGTGAAGGATGAAGCTAAAGAAGAGCCTTTCATTCTCCTACAGCCGGGCAAAGTCTAAATGCAAATGCAAACCTTATGTACAAACAAAGTCATGCACGTGTTTTATAGACACAGGTGAAACTTAGAAAATTGAAAGACTGTTCAAAAGTTCACCTTGTATGAAACTAGTATATGATGCAGACTCGTTATTAAATATTACTGAACTTGGAAGGTTCCTGATTGGACGCAATTAATTCAAATCCTTGATAGACAACTGAGGTTTCTCCCCATTGGTTTAACTATTCTCCTTCAGCACTGTGGATGCTTATTTAAAGGGAAGAGACTGTTTTAAATACAGTTAATAATAATAATAATAATAATAATGCATCGGTTTTATGTGGCACTTTTTTGGACACTCAAAGACACTTTACATGTCATTATTCTTTCACTCCAAACACAGTGATGATAAACTACTATTGTAGCCACAGCTGCCCTAGGGCACACTGACAGAAGCGAGGCAACCAGTATGTGCCATCGGCCCCTCCAACCACCACCAACCATCTACACACACACCAGACTCATTTTAGGCAACGTGGGTGAAGTGTCTTGCCTAAGGACACAACAGCAGTTTGGCACTTTACAGCCGCAGCCGCCCCACTGTGGCATTGGGTGTTCCCAGAGGATAAGTGTCTTGCCAAGGACACAACGACAGCAGACAGTGGGAGTCGGTGGAGAAGGTCTCGCTGTGCGAACCCACAACCTTCAGGCTCAAAGGCCAATGCTCTACCAACTGTCGCCCCAGTTATTATGTCAAAGATTTAACATAGATCCTACCACAGGGTTTTAGAGTCAAAATATGTACAAAGCGACAGCAGTAATCACAGATGAGTGGTGATGCTAGAATCCTGTCTACAATGTACAGTAGCTCTCCCGGTCTCCCACACTTAGAATGGGAGGCTATTTATGTGGAATTACATCACCCCGACTTTCTTTATGACTCTTTGACCTTAAACAATGAGAGCAGAGGAGCCTGTTTATCGCCATCACAAGGAAATGTACGCATTCTTCTGCAAAGGCCATGTGCGTGTGCGTGACATGCTTTTCGGTTCTCCCTGAACTGGATATGCGCGTCTAAATATAGCGCCTTCATAAAGCTGACGGGTCAAAGTCTTTAAACTTCATGCCAGGTGAACTGTACTCCTGCTGCGAAGAGAGCGACCAGCCTCATATTGTTCTCACTTTGTACAGTTTTATCCACCACAGCCACGGTCACTTAGAGAGCTTAATATAGAGACTTGTCAAAAGTGATTCACTGAAAGAATTGAGTCTGCTGCTGATGTTGAAAATGGCCCTGTTCATTTGTACATTTAAGGCAGGGGTCCCCAACCTAGAGCTCGGGAGCCACCAGTAGCTCGCCACCCCCTTCCACGGAGCTCGGCAACTAAATACTGGCAAACTTGTATTTTTTAATGTGTTACTTGTATCTCTGTGCAGCGCTTTGGAAGCTTGTTCTAAAAAATGTGCTACACAATTAAAGTGGATTGGATTTGGATTTGACATATGCAATGATAGATAAAGACTGTACTCAATATCAGGCTTGTTCACACCAATATATCTTTTTTTTCTCTCTCCCAGGGCAAGGAGTAGCTCTCTGCCTTTATCGTCCCGGGAAAGTAGCTGAAAAAAGGTTGACAACACCTGCTCTACGGGATCTCGCTGTAGATGCCACCTTTATTTTTGCAGAAGTGCCAAAATGCCTGCGTGATACTGACATATTCAAATGTCTATTGCAGATAAACAGTTAGCTTGTCAGATCAAACATGTACTGAATGTGCAAAGAAACGGCTGAACCCTTGTGCCACCCTCGGGTCAAAATGAAGAAAAAAAATTACTCTAGCATCTGAATGACCCGGGGCTGGTCAGGTTAGGAGAACTCATTCAAATTCAGCTCAAAATGTTTTTCGTGGGTGTCCATACTTGCGGAAGAAGCAGTGAGCAGCAGAGACGATCCAGCAGGAGGAGACGAGGGTCCCAGCGCAGAACTCCGTGTGTCCGACGTAGATGGCGGCGATCCAGGGGTGCGTCCCGGGCAGCGCCGACGTGCCCCCCATGATGCGGCCCCTGGCGACCGACAACCGCTTCTTGTGCTTCGTTCCACACTGCGCCTTTTTGGGTTTTCGCCTCGGGCCGGCGTTCATGATGATCATGGTTATGCCCCGAGAAGACGCTGTGGGAGAGGAATCCAATCAGATAAAAGTTCAGTGAAAAGTAATAATATATGTTTATTCCAATTTAATTTAATCTTGTTATTTAATATATGATGTTTTGTGCAAAATCAACTGAAAATGAGATTAGTGCTTTTAGGAAAATATTTTAAAGGCTCACGATTTCCCCTTTAAGTAGAATTTTGAAAAGCCAGATCTATTTTATTCTATTTTATAATTTTTTGTTTTTATTTTATTGGAGCTCCAGAGTGAAGAAGTTTTAGCACCGTACAAATAAAGTTTCACCTCTTCATTTTTTTTCTTTTTAATTTACTGACTGCAATTTCCCTTGTGGATCAATAAAGTCTGTCTAAGTCTAAGTCTAAGTCACAGATTCAAACGGAAATATCTGTAATTGCAAATTAACTCTTTTTACTTTTCCTCTCTTTTAACCATGTTACAATATTGTTCCTCACTAAAAACAGACCTGGGGTTGTTTTTAGATCCATACATGCGATTATCGGTAACTTCTGGCACTTGTAACTCCGCCCCCGTCTGTCTAAAAGCTCACGTCTCAGTCCTGTTATAGTATGATATCATTGTAGCACTATGACATCACACTCAGAGCAGTTTTATGTTAAAGCTGCACTAACTGACTTTGGGATTTTGAAGCCGTGGACTCGCTGGCCTCTCTCTTTCTGCTCCCCTCCCCGCACCCACGAAGCTATCGCCCCCCACACACACCCACTGTTGGGACGGAGCTAGTGTCTCCCAATATGGATAATACATGAATATGGATTTACACGTGGATGGCGTGACCATAGAACGATAGAACCGGGAAGTGCGGAGGAACAAGACTTTCTTTTGGATGGCTGTCTCGCTGTGTAAGCAGTAACCGGTGACGAAGACGAGGAAGCTTCAGGTTAGCTCCTCGGCTTGTTGTGCTAACTCAGCCGTCTGTGCTAACGGACCTGTAGATTTCTCACGAAAGTGGGGGCCAGTGGTGCGCTGTGATTGGTCACAATCTGAGACCCGAAACACGTTCTCTTCCTTGTTTCATCAAAACTCGATCTAAAATATAATGTCACGCCAGCACAAATCTGCACTACTTTTTCTTCAAAAGGACGTATATCCCAATGCACTACATGGACATGGATAGCACTTTCGTAATGAATACAAAAATAAAGTCAGTTAGTGCAGCTTTAAGTATAGACATTATTTTTACAAGTCAATTGACGTTCTTTCCCATCACAGATCTGTGTTTCCGGACGGTAATTTTCAAATGTGTAAAAACTAAAAAAAAAAAATTCAACTCCTCCAACTGGCGGTAGCAAGGGAGTTACAGAAATCCATGTTTTAGCTTTCATACTTGATTCACTTTATATTTTGACGTTCTAAAGCATGAGACTCATTATCATAATTTTATTGGACAAAAACAATGCAATGAAATTCTTGAAGACATTTAGAAACATGTTCTGGAATGCCTTTTATTCATTGCAACATTATCATCTCAACATTGTAATAAAAATACTCGACCAGCACCGCCTTTGTCTCTGAATGAGAGTATTTTACTGGAGGGACTTCTTAAAGAACTTCTCACCCCTGCTCCTCGAGGCTTACGTCACTCACATTTTCTGTTCAAATCTTCTTCCAAATGGGCGTAGCCTGGAGGACTAATGGTGCTTTCAGACCGGATCATGCGCTGCGTCGGCAAAGTCTATGGTGACGAGCGTTCGAGAGTCAAAACGCACGAACATCTCGGGACGCACGAAAGGACTGTTCAGTAGAGACGCACGGACTGCGCGGGAAAGTCGAAGAGGAGGAGCAGGAGCGGAAAATGGACACCCACAGGAGATAAACTTTGCTCAACCTTTCCTCGGGACGTTCGTGCAGCGTTTGAACGTTTGCCGTCTGAAAGCACCATAAAGGGGGTCTAGGCTGTGATTGACACTTGACAATAAAAGCAATAGTGACTAAAACTACAACAACACGACACAATTATCAATAATACAAAAAGCTATGGTAATAAAAACCTACCTAAATGCTATAACTAATCACAAACCTGACAATCGATGAAAATACTCTCTGCTATTCCTTCCTTCCTTTGCTAGGGGGGCGTGAACGAGACTGGGCCGTCAGGTATCACTGCTGCGCCAATGTTGGCGCCGGATTCAAAATTCAAATGTAGTAATACAGGTCGCCTGCAGATGGCGCCTCACAGACAGTTTCAGGCAGAAAGTTGATCTTTCAACTAATTTGCACTAAAGTGACAAAATTATGACCAGGATATGTACACAACACTGTTGGACACTCATTTATACCGTTTATCAGCAAAAAAAAAGATTTGAGGGTGAGTTGTCCTTTAACATTTCAATATTTGTTATTACAAGATAAGTACATCTGTAAATTAGGACTTTGACTCGATATTTTAACTTGATAAATACAACTTGAACGGCAACTACTACTAATTGCTTTGCGAAAAAAAAATACAAGTTTGCTGCTGTGTGAGTTGAGTCATCGCAGGAAGTGAAAATACGACAGTGAGGATTATACAATATCATATTTTCTGGCAACCAACGCAATTTGGGGACGTGTAATTTCTTTCCAAATCAAGCGAGGAAAATCTATTTGTGAAGAAATGTGTTTTAATGTGAACAAAGTCAGCGCACACATAAAGATTAAATAAACTTGATGATATTTTATTGTTGGCGAGGACTATGCTGCAGGGGAGACGTTTTTGGTGAAAATATCTTTTTAGCCATGAATTATAATTTTCCACCAATCTGTGAGGTTATAATTTTTTTATTCCACAATCATTCAGATTTTTTTGTTCTGATTGTTTTTTTTTTTACATTTTCATGATTCAGTCAATGTATGTATTTTGATTTTGTATGGCCAGGATACCCCTGAAAAAAAATCTGAAATTTATCACACACAACCGGAGCACCCAGAGGAAACCCACCCAGATACGGGGAGGACTCCACACAGAAGAGTCTTGAGAATTGAACCCACAACCTTCTTGCAGTGACCAACGAGCTCTTCCCACTCAGCCATGATCAGAACAATGTCAATACTTTATATTTATTATTGTCCTGCAGCAATTTGGAAAACCACCACCATTAAAGCTCACACCACAATAATTATTTTTTTATCCTGAAAACATGTTTAGATGAATAGTTGATTTGCTCTTTAGTCTGAATAAAACATGCACAGTTTTTAGATGTAGAGAGTATAGTAAAAAATAAATATTTTTGTGGTGTGAAAATGAGGTGCTGGAGGATAATAGTCAGACCGGCAAGTATTTTAATTCACTTCATCTACTCAGGAAACTGTGGGAGTGCACCTCCCTCTCTCGCTCACACACACCCTTCCCCTCTCTCTTTCCTTCCATCTCTCTCTCTCGATCTCTATCCCTCCTTCTCTCTCTCTCTTCTCTCTCTCTCTCAAAATTAGAAAAGTAAAGTGCATTCACTTTCACAGAAATCCCGGAATCACACACGGGCAGTAACAGTGGCCTGTCTACATGGAGCATCTCTCTTTCTCCATCTCGCTCTCGCTCTTTCTCTCTATCTCTCTTTCTCGATCGCCCTCGCTCTCTCTCTCGCCCTCACTCTCTCCCTCTCTCTCTCTTCCATGGGGCATCTATCGCTCTTTGTCTTTCTCACACTCTCTTTCTCTTTCCCTCGCTCTCTTTTTCTCTCACACTCACTTCTATTGGGCATCTCTCTCTCGCTCTCTTTCTATATCTCTCTCTCTGCCTCTCTTTCTCCCTCCCTCTCTCTTTCTCTCTCTCTCCCCTCTCTCCCTCTCATGGGGCCGCAGACTGTCATCCTGAGGGGCCTCTGTGGCTGAACCCACTCACTGCTCCCACATTTGGCTGCACCTGACATGTTGCATCAGCCTGACTCATCCCACGGATCTCTGAGCCCCCACCTCCATAAAAGCAGCAAACAAAACTCTTCCAAATCCACGCTCAACTTTCAGAACTGTGACTCAGCAAAAGCATCCACTCTGGCACTCAAATTCAGGATTTATAATTTGAAAGTTGATGGAAGCGAGTTCTTGCATATTTTAGTGCTCCTCACGACGTGGAGCAAACAGAGAGAAAGACTTTATGAAATAATGAAAATTGTTCGCAGCAACAAATGACAAATGGGACTGGTTTGGCGTACAGTGTATTAATCACGAAGAGGACAAAAACCTACAGTAAAATATTAGATTATTATAGTATTTTTATTAGTGTTGGCAGACTTACAGATTTACAATAGATTTTTGCTTAGTGTGGGGTTGAGTCACAGAGGCATTCAGAATCAGTATTATTATTATCAACAAACATACATAGCATTATTTTATCTCAGAGACAGCTTTACCACAGCTTTACAACATTACATTTGGCCACGATAAGATTATATTCAGGTGAAACCAAACCGGCAGATGTGGCAAATGCAATTCCAAATGTTTACTACACATCTCTGTTGTGCAAATGAGACATAAATATTCCACAGGATAAATGTAACACAGATGTCATACGCTCCTTCTCCTTGTCAACAAACCCATGCTCTTCCTACAAAACTAGAGCATGAAATAAAAATGAGGTGATTTTTGACTGTTTGTGAATAGTAGCTCCAGATTTGGTCAAATTTCAGACTTTTTTAAGACTTTTAAAACATGATAATCTTGTAACTTTCCAACACCACATTTTCAAAACTCATGACTTTTCCAGGTTTATGGCCCACAGACAAAGTCAAACAAATAGATATAAACAAACTGATAGTGTGAAGGGGTTCATTTCAGACAGAAAAGTGAAAGCGATATGTTCAGGTACATATTTTATGTTTTTATATATTGTATTTATTTCCACTTTTAATTATACTATCATTTATGTAGATAACAGTAAAGTAGTAAAGGATTAAAATAACACAACACAACACAAAATCATTTTAAAACTTTGTTGAAATTTCTACAAACATATTGAACTTTTAAATAATATATATTAATGTTTTGAGTATGTTGAAAATATCAGAATACATTAACAATCCAAACTGGACCTTAAAGGTACAGTATGTAATGTCAGGCAACTTTAGACATTGTAAGGCCTTGATTTTTGATACCATCAAATTGTAATGACTCTGAAAATAGTAGAGATTCCCTGTAACTTCACCTAAACTTGTCAAAAAACTTGAATCTAGAAACCACGTTTGGATTTCAGTTGTTTTAAAGTGTTTTCGTGCTCTTTGTTTATCTGCGGTGAAGCGTGAGGCCGGCGGTCAGACTCACACACAGGCTGCAGACAGGGCGGGATGTTGCAGTACTCCCAGGAGATGGCGCTGTCGCTGAGAGTGTAGCACCACGGCTGCTTGTCACCGTCTGGATTTCTGCACAGAGAAGAGTGAAGGCATTTTGATTTCAATGAACAAGATCATGTGTAAAAAAGTATGAAGGTATTACTCTTGATTTGAGGACAAGATTTCCTATTAAAACAAGTTTTCCTTTGTGTGTTTTATTCTTTATGACTAACCATGTTCCAAATTTTTTAAATTCAACAATAAAACCCTGGACTCAATATCCAAGCTCCTTTCAGGTACTTCTCACAAAAATCTGCACAAACTCACCCCCCTCCCCCATCTGTATAAAAGCTCTTTTTTTTCAACAGAATGTGGTGTTCTCGACCTCTGAACAAAAACAATGTTACACATGTTTTGTTTTAGACAAAACATGTGTAACTTGTGTTCTGTGCAACTGCATGCTTTAATATAGATTAAACAAAGTCAATTCAAATGTACAATTTTTATGTTACAAATCTATTTTTTGGACAAATGGGATTTATCCAAATTAGGTCAAACAATCAGGTATTTATTAGCTTTTGTTAAAAGCTAATAAATACAGTACATGTGCGGGGGGTGTCTGTGGCACTAAAAAAGTTGGAGATCGCTGGCTTAGGACATCACTGCAGGCGCAGGTCTGAAATGCACGGACCGCCACTGGCTTTTGAGGCACTAAATGTACAAAAACTTGAAAAAGGCATATACATTTGTCTTTTGTCTATATATTTTCAAAGGACTTTCTCGCTTTGATGTCCGTTACACATTGAGACATCTGTCCGATTCTGTCCCTTGATGTGGAATGTGATCAAAACCCTCAGCCTTTAATGTCGCTGACCATTAGATACTTTGAACGGAGAGGAAAATGGGAAGACACATTTGGACTGAGGAGAAGTAAATATGTGAAATATCCAGATGGAGTCTGAAAAAGGTGGACAGAATAGATAATCAGAATAATGTTGTGAATGTGGTTATGAGAGGATACGATGAGAGGCAGTTGGAGCAGACCACACCGGCTCCAGGCTCCTTTGCTCTGGTGCAGACGAACTGTGTGGAGTCATGGAGTTGGCTGAGGCTGGCACCACAGTCTGGGAGACCTCATGTATGCAACCAGTGCCCAAGACACCAGCAGAGACCTCCAGACCCTCAGCTTCAGGCCGGCGGCTCTGACATCTCATAACACTGGCGAGGCGGGTCCTGGGCCAACTCCACTGCACTGGGAGCTTGGCACGGAGGACGCCATCATCACAATCCTCAATTTTCATTATCTATTAGAAGTAACCGGAAGATTGTGAATGTTCCACCAAATTTCACATATTTGACTGAATGTTGACATAGAGGTATGAAACGTCAGCCCATGTGGATGTGTCCATGTGTGATGTGTGGTGTGATGCAGACCTGCAGTAGGCGTGGCCCCCCAGGCCCCGCTGTGGGGAAGCGACCACATTCCCCACGTGGAGCTCGTTGTAGAGCAGATCTGAATCCCAGGGCAGACAGCGGGCGCCCGACAGCGTGGTGCCCCCCACTCCCCTGTAGCTCACACCCCTCCCACTGAAGCACTCTGTCCGCGGCTCTGTAAAAGCAGGTCACAGCGCTGTCACATTCAGCTCCCAGAGAATACATCAGACACTTTGATAAATAGCAACATAATGACTTTTCCCCTTCGCATTAGACTGTGTCAGAGCATGTTCCTGTGTTTGTGTTAACAACCGCAGCGACACGGTGCAGCAGCACTTCAGAGGCTCATGTCTTCACTTGTTACTCAAACAGTAACCACTGAGGCTCAGTGCGGAGGCAGTGATGCAACCATGAGATCATTCACTAAGATCTACTGACAAATATATGATTTACCACCAAACAAACTCTCACCCAAGCTGCAGTTGGGTCCAGTGAAGCCCATTCGACAGTAGCACACTTCTTGTCCGGTGGACGTGATCTTCCGACACAAGCCTTCGTTCTGACAGGGGTTGGACCGACACGCTGAACACACCACACACAACATTGTTCCAATATTTACTTTTCTTGCCTCTCACATTCCAGCGGAAGATATTATTAAACTGGACAATAATTGCAACCACACAATTAGCTTTATTGCACTGCATTTTGTCTTCATGTGACATCACAGGTCACCACCCCCTTTCAAGTTGATTCTAATAATACTAATAATAGATGAATTAGTAAAGAAAAATAGAATTATTAAAAAAAACTAAGTTTTGATTGCTGATCTGGTATTGAACTGTATGATTATATTGTACAGACACACATAAAAAACATTTCACATTGATACAGTCTTTGTTGTTATAGGGTTAATATCAGACATACTGTATTTATATATATATCTGTCTTCTTCTGGATATCAGGAAACATGTATTATTTCTATTATAGCTGTGTGTGCGTGTGATACATCCCACCTACGACGAGTCTCAAGTCTCTCACCCCCAGCCCCACTACGTCTTCCAGATGCAATCCTAACTTAGTTTTTCTGCTGTGTATAAACATTGGCTCGGCTGTCACTCCTCTTCATCCCTCTGGTCGTCATGACACTAAACAGTCCTCGAGGCCGCTGTGAAAACCCGTGGTCGTCCCCCGCTGCACGGACCTGTGGGGTGTGTCTTCAGCTCTTTACTGAGTCAGTGTGAGTCACTTCATCAGGCTTTCTCACCGAGCATGTTAGTCCTGTTACCATGGCGTCGGGTTCAAAGGAAAGGTGGGGCACGGACACTAAAGAGGAGGCGATGCGGGACAGTTATCTGCTATTAAGAGTCTATGAGCCATGATGAAAGCAAATTGTAGAAAATACTCAACTCCCAAGCGGAAAATAGTCTGCTTGTGGTGGAGCAGTAAAATAAACACTAATTGAATGTTGAGTTGAATGAAAACATCAGCTTTATGTGAGCTGTTGCAAAAGCCTTACTATTTTTTTGTTCTTTCTCACATCTCAAAGACAAACAAACTTCAACATTTACTCACCCGTGTAGTGCACCCGCTCACACCGGCTCTCCCCCTCCACACACAAGCACTGTTCCACGTTACGCATGTGGATTCGTCCCCAAGACTCTCCGGTGTCATAGTAGCGCCGGTGTTCGCTTTCGTAGCACTTTTCTGAAAGGAACAGGCAGAAGAAAAAACATAAAAGACAGATTTGAAACATGAGAGGTGAAGAAAAGCCTCCGTAGCGGGACCTGCACTAAAGACATGACAATAGTGTGAAACTGCAGCAATTCAATGGCCTGTGTCGCATTCACAAGCTCTCATTAGCAAAGTATTAGCTCAGTGTGTGCTATCCTCTGTCTGCTGCACACTGGGGTGGTCTTGTACAGTTTTTCCAATGTGGTTTTACTGCAAATGGCAAATAAATTCTTGAATCTTGAATAATCGTATAACCCGATAGGACGTTTACCATCATACACATGGCATTATTCACTCTATCTGAAAACGGTCGGACGGAAAACTAAGCCACAGCTGCCCTGGACGGACTGACAAAAGCAACCGACCACCAACAACTATTCACTCACTCACTCACTCACACACCAGACTCATACTAGTCCTGGGTTTGATTCCACATCTAGGCCTTTCTGTGTATAGAGTTTGCATGATCTCCCCGTGTCTGCATAGGTTTCCTCCGGGTGCTCCGGTTTCTCCTACCACTAAAACTACAGTATGTACAATAGGTCTGAATGTAATAACTGAATGGATGGGGATGGTTGGGGCTTTGATGCAGCAGTGTGTTTCGGTGTCTCGCTTCCGTCATCACCGTGTGGAGAGAATGAAAAAATATCTCGTAACATATTAAAGCATTGTACATTGTAAAGCGCTTTGGGTGAGACCTTGGTTTGTAAAATGCGCTATATGAATAAACACCACTTACTTACTAAATGTGGGTGTAGTGTCTTGCCTAAGGACACAATGGCAGTTTGCACTCTACAGCTGACTATAACTTCGGTTTTTGGACTATTTCTGTTGTGTAGCTTGTTGCACTGACTTTGGTCAATGGTTTTGTCGTTCACGAGGTCAAAGCGAGATCAGCGACTAAACCAGGAAGAGTCCGGAGCAGAGAGACGCCTCGGGACCAGCGGCACAGACAGAGAAACAGCTCTAACCCTAAACGCCTAACCCTAAGCCCTACACTGGCTTATGTCTCTGGTGCGGCACAAGGTGGAAGTCAGTGTCTGGCCAACGTCAGCCGCCCAAATGTAACATCATTCTGGTGTGTTCCCAGGGGCGCATGCGGCGTTCGCTCATGCACGCACACACAAAAACACACACACAAACACAAAGAGAGAAAGAGACACAGACAAACACATAGAGAAAGACACACAGACACGCACATAGAGAGAGAAAAAGAGACACACAGAGACAGACACACAGACACATATTGAGAGAGAAAAGGAGACAGACACACAGAGACAGAGACACAGACAGACATACACACAAAGAGAGAAAGAGATACAGACACACACATAGAGAGAAAGAGATACAGACACACACACATAGAGAGAAAGAGATACAGACACACACACACACACAAACACATAGAGAGAAAGAGATACAGACACACACACAAACACAAACACATAGAGAGAAAGAGATACAGACACACACACAAACACACAGATAGAGAGAGAGAGATACAGACACACACACACAAACACATAGAGAGAAAGAGATACATACACACACACACAAACACATAGAGAGAAAGAGATACAGACACACATACACATAGAGAGAGAGAGAGATACAGACACACACACACAAACAAACATATAGAGAGAGAAAGAGATACATACACACACACAAAAACACAGAGAGAGAGAGACACGCAGAGACAGACACACACATACAAAGAGAAAAAGAGACACACAAACACATAAAGAGAGAGAGACACACACACACACACACACACACACACACAGGTTTGACAGACTTTGCTAATGAGAGCGTGAGCGTTGTCAATCTTCCTCCAAACGTCCATGATTTACTACAATCATGGATCCTGCATCGTCAATCCAATCATGAGATTTCTGAATCCGTCTGAATGTGACTGAATGGCTCTGGGCATCTGTATGTACCCCTTGTCACCTACACAACCTCATTGTGTAACCCCATTTGGCCCTCATGTACAACAAATACACATCCTACGGCACGCCTTACATTAAAACAATCCTCTAGTGTTTGACAGAAGCTTTCTCGTGTCATTTACTTTGTCTTGATTTTTCTGTCAAACAGTAATACACACAGCCGGGCCCAGAGAAGGTTCATTCAGTCATAATTTTTGTGTTTCGAAACTGAATATGTTTTGATTTTCATAACATTGGACAAGCGTCTGAATGCATATGGCTCACAGATTGTCGTAAAAGTCACAGAAGAACAATGCTCTGTAAAAACGAAAAAGTGGATCACAATTAGAGAATGTACGAAGGTCGAGCAGCCAAGCAAAAAGTAACGGTCCAAAAATTCTCCAATAAAAGAGAACACATATTTGAAGAATCTAAGCTTGAGATTATAACGCAACAATAATGGAGATATTTGGAAAGTTGAAGGTTACGTGAGATGAGGGCCGTTCACACTAGAGCTGGAACAACAGGACTGGACTCACTCTGCTCGCAGCGTTGGCCTCCGTGGCTCTCGGGACACGAACACAGGAACATGTGAGTGTGAGGGGCCGAGCACAGACCAGCGTTCAGACAGGGGCCCGACAGACAGGGGTCCACCACTCTCCTGGAGTTATTAAGGACCTCTACAGAAGCACAAACACACATTCAGACTGGCTTTGACTACTCCATAATGATATTCTGTTTACTTTTGGGGTTCATGGGAGATTATTCACTTTACCCATGTTGTCCAAGTATCAAATCCCAAATCTATACAATTAATATATGCTTCTGTTATCTGTTTTTATAACTCAAATATTATCCTTGGATTTTAATTGAAAGCTATTATGGTTCTTTTTTTGATGAAACCCAATTGTAAATATTATGTATTATTATTATCATTTATTTCCCACTTTATTATGACTTATTTCGCTCTGTTTTAGACGTTCCTTGCCGATGCAGGTAGTGACGATCTGAGACATTTATTAACATTTATTCAAATTTATGCACTTTGGTCATCCCACTCAAGGAACATTTTTTCCCCAAATGCTATCACTGTGTATTGTTGTTTTTCAGTGTATTATGTATCACGTTTTGGTGCGTTATAAACAGATAAAGTTGGATTGGAGGAATTTGTTTTGTGAGTGGCAGCCTGGCTTCCAACAGTCTAACCCAGGGCAGCTGTGGCTATTACACCCTCATCATACCCTAACCCTATAGAAGCTTATTTCCACTTTATTTTTTTCTACAGATGAAATTTATTAGATTATTGTTCAAAAGTACATTTACTTCTGTAACTCATCTTACACTGATATATGACCTATAAAACACTTTGTTATAATGTAGTCATATCATACATTCAGATTTTCAGTTGAAATACAGACAGAAATGAACTTTTGATGTTGTATGTGTATATTAAGATTTCAAATGTTCCAAATATACACTAATAATGGTCCCAGTATGTCGGATTGTAGCTATAAGATACAGACCAGATTGTTAATGACAAATTGGGTTAAAATTACCTGTTGGAAGTTTCCTTTCTTGAACACAGAAGCCATATTTCCGGTCGCGATCAAAGTTATGAGTCAGAGAGCACCTGTAAAAACACAAATTACATGAAGTTGAAATGATGATAGATTATAGACACACCCACAGAGACCGTTCTTAGAGTTTCTTGCACCATTCTCAAGCCCCGGTGTAATGACCTGTGTGACAATGAGCTCATGCTGCAAACTCCAACAGACATCCAGGTTTGTGTTACTGTATGAAAAGTATGTGAACGTGGAACGCACACCTTTGGACTTGTGTAGAAGGAGTGACGGCGCTTCAACGCGCTGGTACTAAAGCAGGGCAAAACTAATTATGTCCTGGAAACACACTATGACAGAAGCATATTCGTCATCAGAATCAGAAGTGTGCAGCATTGAGTAATTTGGGAACTCCCTGATTAACAGTAAAATTTAATCTGGGAAAAGTAGCTGTGAGGAAGTACCATTTGGGAAAAATATATAATCTCCTCATTCCTCGTTCTACAGTCTGAGTCCTGGAACTATAGACCTCTCTCAATGCTCGAGGTTTCTCTCTTTTTCCCACTATTGTTTATTTTGAGTGGTTCCTTGCCGATGCAGGAGAGTCTAAGGACAGTGATGATCCTGGACATTTAAGATTAAGATTTTAGAGATCCTTTATTCGTCCCACAGTGGAGACATTATAGAACAGTAGGAATGTGAACATCTCAAACTCTATAGCAGCAAAGAACAAGAATAAAATCTCAATCTTGAAATGTTTACATTTGGGAAAATAAGAGGCAAACATAAAGTACTGTATTCTAGTGAAAGCAGTATGTAGTTATATGTTTACATCTGTACATGTTAGCAGCAGCAGTATGTTTACATCTGTACATTAGCAGCAGTATGTTTACATCTGTACATGTTAGCAGCAGTATGTTTACATCTGTATATTAGCAGCAGTATGTTTACATCTGTACATTAGCAGCAGTACATATGAACGTTTAATAACACTTATCTGCCCCCTATGGACCAATGGCTCCTATGAGTTTGTTAGAATTGCATTTCTTGTGTTTGAACCATAGACTGTATATATTAATTGAACGGTTTGATTTTCTGATCTGTGTCATAATTTATGGCTATACACAAATACATTAAATTGAATTGAATTGAATTGTCAATGACAAATTCCAAAACATTTTATCCTTTTCTATATATATTCATTTGTGGACCCAACCATCATCAAAGTTCCCAAAACACAACAAATTATCTTATATTTTCTGAAACAGTGGATTTCAAACTATCAAACGACTTCACCAGGTGTTGACTGAACACACCCTCCAGGCTGTATCACCATTTACTGTTTATGAGATAAACAATAAAAGAAGGAAAAGAAATGGACGATTAAATCCACAAAACACCTGCAGAACCCGTGAGCATCTGTCCAGTCCCTCTGATCCTTCTCCTTGTCTATTGCATGAATACTTCTCAATAATGAACTATAATTAGATTCACGCAGGCTGCACCCAGTGATGCATGAATTACTCTGCACAAAATGACTATTATTTCTTTTCTTACAACAAATGATTGCGACACACCCACCTGTGTCCAACTTATCCTATAATTTCATAATGTTTTTCTCCTCGCTTAAGTCGTGGATGGAGCTGCAAAGTGGGAAATGTCTCAATCTGATTCAAATGCATTTAGTCAGATAAAACCCTTTGAGATGGATCTGCTGACTGTGAGGCTTTGTTTCAAAAGAAAACTTGCATCATTAGCATCAGTGGGTTTTTGAGGGGACAGTGTTTTCAGAGATTAGATAAAATAGAAGTCTAATGAATCTCAGGCTCCTAATCAAGGGATTGTTCCATCTAGTCCTATAACAGGACTATGAGTCAATGCTAAATGTTTTTGAATAATTATTTGAAAGTGGTCACTGTGTTGTGAAAAGCTATTTCTGTCTCACAATGTCAATATTTACAGATACAGGGCTGCGTCATGCTGAGCTCTACAAGTCACTATGTCCTGCTCCAATGACTGACAGTGTCCACACGATGTTGTTATAGTAAGTTTTTTAATATAATATAAAGTGTTAAAGAAGAAGTGTTAAAGTAGCAGTCTTTTAATGGAAGTGTTACAGTAGAAGTGTTAAAAACAAGTGTTATAGAAGAAGCGTTATTATAGAACATATAATATAATAATATATAATAATACAAGTGATACTCAGACAAAGTCCAGCCTGAGACTCACCAGGGTCTGGAGGACAGCACCGTGATGCACTGCTGATGGAGGCGCCCTCCCTGACGAAAGGGGAACTTACACTCTTTCCCTGTTGTGGTGAAAACTGAAACAAAAACACAGAGATGGTTTTTTTATGCAAGTTCAACTTTGTGGAGGTGGCAGTGCACCTGCAGGATTTCAGAGAAATACACATAAAAACCATCTTTTGGAACATTTTACATGGAGTTACATTTTGAGCCATATAGAGCCCAGAGGTGCAGGAGAAGAGTAGAGTCATGTTTGTGCAGATGCAAGCACCGCCACCAAAATATAGTTTTCAGTGTCTTTAGAGAATGGACAGAAGTCATGTTTTTATAACGTAATGTAAAACTTTACACAATGCAGCTTCCACTTGTGGCACTCGTTGTGGAGTGTTATTTTCTATCATTTATGAAGAGCTTATTTCTTTCTTAGTAACGTACCTCTGCGGCTTGGATCGGGCGCTTCTTTTGAAGTGGCTCTCAACAAACGCTGAAGCACAAACAGACTTTAGTTAATGTTGTGGAGACAGAACCTGTAGCAAGAACAGAACCTGTAGACACAAGAACCTGTAGACAGAAGAACCTGTAGACAGAAGAACCTGTAGACAGAAGAACCTGTAGACAGAAGAACCTGTAGACAGAAGAACCTGTAGACAGAGGAGCCGGACTCACCGCGTGTGTGGAAGACACGAGGAGCAGAGCTATGAACAACATCATCACAGGCTGACAGTCCGTGCGTCTGTTCCTTACGTCTGTACGTGTGCGCACCGTGTGGAGGTGTGCAGGTCTGGTCCTGTCCCGGGCCCGGACACTCGCATCCCACACTATGGGATTGTGCAAACCCGCTGCGTCATGGGGCGACGCATCCTCCGCTGCACGCGACAGACGCCCACAGCAGCGACCTCTGCAGTCACTGGTCACTGACTGGTCACTGACTGGTCACCCACTGGTCACTTACTGGTCACCCACTGGTCTGGGTCATGGTCAGGGAGAGGAGCTCTGCTGCGGAGGCGGGACACCAGGGGAATCCCTCCCGCCCTCCGCTGTCATACAAACATCTAAAGAGGTAAATAAATGGTCAGAATGGCCTCACTATAAAAACATCCATGGCACACGTAAAGGCTCATAAGCTTCAGTTTAAAACCAGTCTTAAGACTAAGGCGGCAAGTCCAAGTTCTCTATTGAAAGTTTTAGGTTCTCCTCAAATCTACCAAATATAAATTCACCTTTCTTTAACAAAGTCTTTAACAAAGCCAGGCAATTGAAGAGTCATCATCTAGGCAGTTCTTTCTTCTTACAATTCAAGTAATTTTACCTAAAGTGTCACAATGTTCAGATCCAGAGCTGTGTGACATCCAGGGCAAGTACACTGTACAGTTATCAGTTTCTTTGTGTCTGCTTCTCCAGAGGAACAATAGCTCACATGAAAAACATTTCATGCTCATGTGATGAACTCAATCAATTTGGAACAACTGATGATGATGGAACAGCACTAGTCCTTTAGAGGATCGGGCTGATTTAAGGCAGTGCTTAAACCAGTGCCAGAGCAGAAAGTTGTCAGCATTCCAGTGGTGACATGCTGTGTCAGGACAGACTCTAATCTAACCTCTAATTTTCTCCATCTGTAATAATCCCACTTCAGACGTGCTGCTAAAAATACCAGCAGGACCCTCTGGTGTAGAAGCAGCGTATGTAAGGTTAATTATTGATGCACAAACTGACACGTTTATTGGCATTTCCTCAGTGCTGTCAACAGTTCCCCACAAAAGAAAGAGACGTAACAAGGTTTGTTCAAGTTACAACCATTGAAGCTTTTTAATGAATGACCATTTGAACAACCTGCCACCACAGAAACAGGATGCAGTACCATGGTTTCATAAGACAAAAATATCAAGGAAATAGTTAAATACTCTAGACATTTTAAAGCCTTTTGAGGGTAACGTTCAACAAACCCACAGAATAGTCCCACATCTTAAGGCATACTTTATAATCTACAAAACAGAAGATTAATTTGTGTCCCAGATTTGCTCAAGTAGAATGCAATGTATCTAACATTGTGGAAGAATTCAGAATCTAGGACTTTAATACAGGACTCTGATAGTGGACAGACCAGAATTGTACGGTGCTTGAATGTATAGAAAAGAAGACAAGTTGCTCCAATCAAGTAATTTACCAGCAAAATACTCACAGAACTTGCTGGATATATGTATAAACATTGCACCACCTATATGGGTTTTAAAAGAAAGTACATTTTGTCCACATATAAGCCACACTTGAATATAAGCCGCAGGTTTTCATGTTGAATTTTAACACTTGACTGACATCTTAAGGAGCAAAACAAATATTAGATGACTGTTTTAACTGGACACAACATGATTCAAAGTATTCTGCTAAATACGGACCATTTTGACTATAAATGTGTCCTGTCCCTAAAAATGAAGTCAAAATGATGACTTCTGAAATTTTCTCTCAATCAAAAGAAATCAAGTATTTATTCCTCTCTACTCGCCCTAATTCCTGAAACCAAGAGGGAAGTTGAAAAAAATCAGCGACTTATTGTCCAGCAAAGACTGATTATTTTACCCAATAATTATCCATCAAAAGAGTTTCACATTCCTAATAGTTTCTCAGATATAGAGGTTTTTCCATGATTGTGAGATAAATGTACAGAGACTGAAAGAAAAGAAAAGTTCCTGCCATCACGTAGTTTACTGGCAAAATACTTAATCAGACTTAAGGGTTCAATTTTGAGTAAATTTCACTCATTCATTGTTTTATAGTAATTGGGACTGAAGAAGCCAATTTTAATCCCACAACCTTCCAAAACATGTGTGGCAGATTTAAGGTAATTTAAGGTCCTGGCTCCGTCGACTTTAATGGCGTAAAGACTCTGGAATACAGTCTTGCGTAACTTCTGGAGAATCGTCAGACACCAGAGCAGGAGCATGGACAAATATGGTAATTTTTTTTTTTTTTATCAGATAACTTGCAGGTAAAGATTATTGTGATTATTTATGATTTTAATGCTTTCTTGTTTAGCACTTTGAGTTGCCTTGTGTATGAATTGTGCTATACAAATAAACTTGCCTTGCCTAAAGAAGCAGTTTAAATCAGATGTGAAATATACCAAGTGAATCAGATTGTTCTATATGTGCGACCAGTCACATTGAAGAACTAGCACTTTCTCTTTTGAAGGTGCAAATTAAAAAGTATTTCAGGGACTGGCCTCCTGCTGGTGCCCATGGTCAGGAGTAAACAGGAGGGGGCAGCATTTCAGATATTTGCTGCTAAAATCTGGAACAGTCATCCTGATAATGTGAGACACGCTTCTACTGCTCAAATCCAGATTAATATAACACTCTTTTTAATGTACCATGATTATTATTTATTATTTTAATGCGCCACACGGTTGTTCCTTGTTTAGCATTTTGACTTTCCTTGTGTATGAACTGAGCTAAACAAAAAAAACGTGCCTTTCATTTTTTAAAAGAATGTGTGTTTATGGCACTGTACTATTATGTACAGTAAGTATTTAGCGACAATTATATATTTAAAGTAGTCCCTCCCCTCAGCATAACTACGACCAGTAAGATTTAGACCTATAGATGAACCAATGACAAGGGTTCTCACGGATTTGAATCAATTCCGACCAATCAGGAGGCTGCGGGTGTGGCACGATGTTGAAAGAAATGGACATTCACTTTAAGACTCATTGTAGATCCGCTACCTGCTTGAAATAGGACAATATATAGATAAATATATTTGGAAGACTTCAGTCCAAGAGTAAAACATTGATTATTTTCCGTTTATAAAGTATGCCTTTTTTTTTATTCTTTTTTTCCCTCAAATACGCCCAAAACATATTTCAAGCTTGTTTCATGGTTGCCCTGGTCTCATTCTGGTTCATAAAAATACAAACAATATCAAAATAGAACATTACAATCCTTGACTTAGACATAGACACCAGAATCTTGGAACAAATCTACAACGCTATCATTTTTTGGAGTGGATAATGTTCTTTTTTCTGTTCCCGCACATGCAGAGCTCACGGAGAGTCATTCAGAAAACAGTGCCATGGGCTTTTCAAAGTGCAGCAGTGGCCAGTCTCTCCCCCCGCCCCTTCAGACGATCGTGGCCTTGTACAGGTCAGTTTTGCAGTCCTGGCCCTCCGGTGGGTTGCGGGTTCCGTTGGGGGGCAGCTGGACACTCCTCATTTTGCTTTGGCATTGGCGGAGCTCGGCCACGTAACCTTGGAAACTCAGGCTGAGCTCCGAGTCCTCTCCCTGGGATGTTCCCTCCTCCAGGTGAACGCTCTCCACGTCCATTACCTCCACGGTCGCTTTGGAGTCAGTCTGGCAGTCTGTGGAGGAAGAAGGACATGTTTTTAGAGAGAAAGAAACATGTGTCATGCTGAACTGTCGATGTAGGAGGGTCTAAGGACGGAGGTGATGATCCAGGACTCTCGACATTCAACATTTATGGACATTGGTCATCTGCCCCTCATGGACCAATGGCTCCATGTGTTTTTATCATTGCATTTCTTGAACTGTGGGATTCTCTGATCTGTGTTTGTGAATGATATTGTTTTGTAAGGTCTTCCGAGTTAAGTACTGTTGTGATTTAGGGACAAGCCCCGGTGATCCAAGATGGCGCCCTATTCAAATGAATGGCTTGTGCTCAGTAGAGCATGGGACTTCACGGGGACCGGGAGATTAGCAGAACTCGCCTATATTTGGGCATAGTCTACTCCTCCCGGTTCTGTGCAGTGGACGAGCTCCCATGATGCAATGCGCCAAATACGCGCGTGTAGCTCTCGTGCACGTGCACAGAGAGGCTTTGACCAATCAGAGCAGCTGATCAGAGCAGCGGTAGAGCGGAGTCAGAGGGGAAGGAAACGAGACGAGTTTCTGGTAGTAAAGTGTGGATTTAAAGAAAACTGAAGGATTTAAGAAGAAAAAAAGGATGACAAGGAACACTAAAATCCCCACAAAATATGATCTTTATGAAAGCTGTAGGTTCTGTCAGCTGAGGTCGAGCTGTTTTAGTTTACATTGAGATCTATGGGACTTTTTTCTGGGTAGCCCACGTGAACTTAGTCTGCAGTATCACGGGCGCCCCCTGTGCCCATGGGTGGGACAGCTATAAGCTAGTAATACACTATCCAATTATTATTATAGATTTGTGTTTAGGGCTACAATAAATTGAATTGTAGCATAATGACACCCGGCAATAAACGTGTAATAAATTCCATGTCACTAGCTCCTCGCTCTCAAAATAGTTTGGTTCCAAATTAACACTCGTTTTCACACGCATATGTATGTATTTTTGGCCTCAGTCCTATTTTTAGCTATTGTTCAGACAGAAACGAAAGGACTCTGCTCACTCAGCCAATCAGCTCTCAGAATGCAAAAGATGTCGATGTTTTCTAATAAATTAAAGACTGAATGTTGATTTGTTGACAACATGTTTTTGAAATACATTTTAAGTTTTAAGGGAGTGAGTTTGAAGGTGTAGACTTATGCAAAGACCTGTGGCTGTGGTCACAAATCAACAGGAACAGATTCATTCATTTGTTTCTTTCGACCGCAGTAAATGTTTAGGATTCTTAGTCATAGGAGCTTGTGGTATTTATGTCAATAGTACGTCACTTTCTGGAGGTGGAAAAATCACGTGCATGATTCATGGAAATAAAGTATGAAGCATATGGAACATTCCCTGTTGCAATACGTAACGTGGAAGACATCTGCCATAGAAGCAGCATTCCATGGAAACAATACCAGTACGAGTCAGGTCTGTGGAGGTTACAGGCACCACGAGTATGGACGTATGGATTAATGACATATAAGCACATTTTTTCTCTGAACTGTTTAATGTTTGGTTATTTTATTTCTTATGCGAGTTCTGATTTTCTAATTTGCTGCAGGTCATTTGACAATTCTTTGACGCCCTTCATGATTTTGAGCAACAACAAAAAAACTGATTGGATTTTAATATAATATTTGTTATACTTTCATGACATGCCGTTTCATGTGAAAAACATACAATTATATTTGAAATTTCCATTGTGTGGGAAAAATAAAGGTTCTCTCTTATCTTTAATCTTTTATCAATTATTGGGCTAAAAACGCACGGGTAAAAAAATTCAGGGACATCCAGCACATGGCCCAGGGACCTTATTTTGAGAACCACCAGTATACAACAATATGCATTCTTCATCTTTAGCATTAGCCCACTGCTAAAATGCCAATACTATTTTGTAAATCTTATTATAAAAGCCAGTGTGCAGTGATTAGCAAGCACTCAACTTTGGCAAAATGATCACTTTTAACAATTGTGTCCATGTCTAAAGCTGAAGTTAACTTTGAAAACGCCAAAAAATGAAAAAACTATGTAATCAAACCCATGTAACTACTTCCTCACTCTCAAAACAGTATGGTGTCATCTCTAGTTTCCAAATGCATGTATGTTTGGCCTCTGTCACAACTCTCTAGATCTGCTTTTTTTCAGATAGAAAAGTGAAAAAGAACCACCCTCTTTCAGCCACAGATCTAATTTGTTCACGGCTGCAACTTGTTATAAAGTTGCATAACAATCTGAAACGTGAGCCATGCCTGAAGTCATCCAGATTTAAAAATAAATATTGGATGGAATAAAAATGGCCTCCCTTCACTCTCCTGTGACGCAGCAGCTCTCCACAAAAAGACGACACATAAACATCTCCTCTGCATCGGTCGATTTGGATTTAAGCCTCTTTGACCGTGATGACTCTAAACACAGAGGCCGCGGTGACTCAAGGCAGCACTGATCCACGCCACAAACTGCACAAACTGCACAAACTGATTCAAAACACATAAACACAAGAAACTTCGCAGTAGAGAGGCCACAAGGACCCACCAAACGTCACGAATAGTCCACTTCCAAAGGGGACTGGAGAGGGCCTGGTATACGGAGGGGGTCGCTGCATATGGACCGTGTTTGAACCACAGACTGTATGTTTGGACCATGGGTTTGGACTGGAAGGAGAGTTTGACGGTGCACACGGCTCTAGTAAAAGTCACGCTCTTAACTCATTAACTGCCATTGACGCATTTGTCTGGGGATTACAGGACAATAAAAATTTCTAGAAACAAACTGCTGATTTTTGCTGATCAAAGCAGACCATCCAGTCTTTCAGAATCTGGTTTCATATTTCACATAGTCTTAGGAAATAATCTTCTGTGGGTCTTGAGTTAGTGAAATCATCCAAAAGGGCTGGCAGTCAATGAGTTAATGCCCAGCTCTTGTTTTGTGTTGCTAGGAGACATGACTCTTTTTGTGTAAATGAATAACATAAAACATAGGATACAGAATTCTCAAGAGTGTGGTTTAAATCAGATTTTAAAATGTTTTGCATATTTAAACTATATCTTATTGGGCAATCCTTCAATTCACTTCAGAAGTCATCTCAAAGGGCATTAAAGAATTGTTGATTTGCCAATAGCAGATTTAAAAATAACATTCTACCGTCTATAGATCTGTCTGTATTGCATTACCCGTTTTTTTTTTTTTTTTACTATGCACCAATTAGTTAAATTGGAGTCTGACTGAATAAAGATGAATAATAATACTAATAAATTATTTTAGTAGTATTTAATTAGGGTTTTTTTGTACTGTAGGTATGAATGATGGACGTGAGTATGAGTTGTGAGGGCGAATGTGCTGTAGGCATGTATTTGTTTTGACATGTGAACATACAATGTAATCATAATAATGTAACAACCCAGATCACGTGTACTTATGAATCGGTGACAGAAACAAGAATGGAAAATTATTTAAGAATGTATCACAAAAAACATATGGACCTTTTCTTGACACTTCACATGGCATTATCCCGTTAACTCCATAACACAGCGGTGGTAAACTACTGCTATAGCCACAGCTGCCCCGGGGCTGATGGAAGCAAGGCAACAACTCTGCGATTGGCAACTCCAACCACCACCAAGCTTTCACACACACATACAAGGCATCGTGGGTGACGTGTCTTGCCTAAGGACACAACAACAGTTTGCAGTTTTACAACCGCCCACTGTGACACCTGGTGTTCTCAGAGGTCTCCCATCAAGTAACTAACCAGGCCCTGCCCTGCCTAGCTTCAGGGATTTGATAGGATCAAGTTTTCACATGCAAGTGGTCCCAAAAATCAGACCAATAGAAAACATAAGAAATACAACAAAACATCCGACATGGTTCTAATCCAGGCTGAAAACTGTTCTTGTAATTATATTATATTTAGAGTTTTAATCTTGACATTGACTCTTTGTCTTTATTCCACGAGTGTTTTAATCTCATATGTGTATTATGTTTGCAAATGGATATGCAAAGATTTTTGTTTAGCACCGTCGCTAAACTCACAAACTGCCATAGCGCAATCGAGCCTAAAATTCCAAGCTCACTGAGCAGTGTCGACTTTCTCCACTTCTTTAATAATAAAATGACATCCATCCGTGACAAGCTGGAGGAGGTTGCTCCTGCTGTTGGTAGTAGACAGGCTGAAGCGGCATACGTGACTTCCCACTTAGACTCTTCAGTGGGCCTCGATAAATTCATGGCTGTGAGCCAAGCAGAGGTGATCTCTGTGGTCACATCCTCAAAAGCCTCAACTTGCATGTTAGACGCAGTCCCGACATGGCTCTTCAAAGACATACTTCCTTTGATAATTGAGCCTATCGTAAATATAATAAACGCATCCATACAATGTGGCTATGTCCCACAAGCTTTTAAAACCGCGGTAATCAAACCCCTTCTGAAGAAAACAAACCTGGACCCAGAAATACTTACAAACTACAGACCGATCTCAAACCTCACTTTTATATCTAAAATCCTGGAAAAACTTATAGCTGAGCAGCTTCGCTGCCACCTGCAGGAAAATAAAATGTTTGAAGTCTTTCAATCAGGATTCAGAGCTCATCATAGCACTGAAACGGCACTAGTCAAAGTCACAAATGACTTACTACTAGCTGCTGATAATGGACAAGTGTCAGTGCTGGTCCTACTGGACCTTAGTGCTGCATTTGACACAATAGACCACAGCATTCTACTGCAGAGGCTAGAATGTGATATAGGTCTTAGAGGAACAGCCCTTGGCTGGTTTAAATCCCATTTATAAGATCGGTACCACTTCGTCAACGTAAATCAGAACTCGTCACCTTATTCTGGAGTAGAATTCGGTGTGCCGCAGGGTTCGGTACTCGGACCGATTCTTTTCACTCTCTACATGCTGCCGTTAGGAAACATTATTAAAAAGCATGGAATTAATTTCCACTGCTATGCAGATGACACACAGCTTTATCTGTCGATGAAGCCTAACCAGACAGATCAGCT